ACGGATTGTATCGTGGCATTTATAATTTTTTGTACGAGGTTTTCTCAGAGTGAACTTAGGCGCTCAAGGTTTAAAACTATTGACAGCACTAGAAGGATATACGAAAGTATTACAGCACTTAAATCGCTAGATGTTCAAATGGTTGTGGACAGAATGAAAGAAGCTTTCGCTCAACGGGCTTTCATGTCTAGTAGCAGTGGATCACCGACACCTCCATGCAAGAACCTAGGTATATGAACGATAATAGAGGAAAAAGTAATAGGTAAATCATAGTAAGATATTATCATTAGTCATTAATAATAGGATAGCATTCGATCTGCACTAATAAGGACTAGACAAGCATGATATTGATCACCACCCAGTGATCAATCAATTGTGATTACATCTCAGTCCTACAGGAGGTCAGTCACGGCTCGGATAGCTCAGTGGTGACGTCTCTGACTGTGAAGCTGGGTGACACGAGATCGAATCCGCCAGGGAGCACCAGTTCCCTCAAGATTACAGGTACACCTTGCTGACGAGTGCCAAGTAGCACGAAACCCGGGTCCAGGGTTTCCTGTTGACTACCTCCAACCACCATCTAATCTCAGTAGGAAAAGTTTCCTCTTAAAGAAATCCTGGTAAGCCACTTGGACTAGCTTAGCCGGCAGCGAATTCCAGTATTTGAATGCTCTTACGGAGTATAAGTTGCGTCTGCAAACCGTACTGCTGTGTTGCCTCTGATTTCTGGGTGCTACCCCTTAGGTTTGTGTTGGAACTAAACTTCAGTAGGTGTTGCGTAGCAGTTTCACTTTGTAAAGGACAGGAGGTCAGTTTGCTTGTGTTAGTCCAGGCAGTGATGGTCTCTCACTTGATACAACTTTCTTTTGGAAGAGTCGATAAATGGAGCTTCAATCACGTGTTGAAATAATGAATTCCATTTGTCGATGGTTCGATGGGAATTTCAATAATCAGCTGACAAGTAATTTGTTCTAGGCTTGAAGGCTATTGAGGAGTGTCCTTGCAACTTCTCTGTTTTGGAAAGCAAGAAGCGCTTTAGATGCAAGTTTATCACTGAGTAATTTAAAAACTTCGATCAAGTCGCCTCTGGTTCTTCTATATGACAACCGAAATAGGTTCAGAGTATCCTATAGACTCTCTAACAGGTTTTTCTTCGTAAGTCTTTTTGGACTTGCGGAGTGTCGAAGTATTTCGAACTTTCCGATATTGGTCACTATCCAGTAACCTGTATTTCCCCCACATTCTGCTCTTACGGGGTGGGGTGCAGGCCTCCCTACTGAACTACAGTGGGGAGTTTCTCAGTCACTGTTTGGAGGACTAGCTTTTCTTTAACAACATTAGGTCATTTTCTCTTCTTGGTCTGCACCTATTCATCAATTTAGGTTGGAGTAGCAATCACAGACACGTCACACACACTGTAGGATCCTGGATGATACCTGATGACTTGAGTTTTAAGGTTGTTGTTTGTCGTGCTAGAAGCAAGCCTAGTTTTGATACTAGGTTTTTTGGGCGTTTCCTTCTCTCTGAAATTTTGAAGGCAGGTACAGAAGAAAGACTTCCTTTCTTGGGCTTTTGTTTCAAATAGGCCTCTACATAGGTTGTCTGTTATAACGCTCGGTTTTACTTCTTCCAATGTTATAACGGTTGGGTTTCCACGTTTACACATACAGGACGTTAATTTACCTTAAACGATTATTTACACTAGATTCCCTCACAGTGTCTATTCCACAGGATATCAACACAATTCAGATCAAGAACACGTGATTAGCCTGACCATAATGTAGATATATTTCCACACCAAAACCCGACACAATCCAACAACAATGAACAATCAATAATAAGTGAGTTGTAATAATAATAATAATAATAATAATAATAATAATAAGGACAGGAGATTATATAACTCATCTGACACCTGTCAGACTATCTACATGTCTGACTAAGCAGATAACCAATCATAATCATTATCGCCCACACTTCATTGTCTTTTCTCAGTTGACCTATGCATGTCAGTAGACTTGTTTGATGTAACTTCACAGTGATTTGTGTATCGACCAAGCAAGTACCATTGATGTGTCTCGAATGCGCTTGCCAATGCTCCTTTAAGCAGCATTCACCATTGCAATGGCTTTGAAAAGTAAACTGTTAGCATCCGGGCAGCATTGCTGACAAAACCACGGGCAACTGTTTTTACTAAACCGCTTGGATGTCAAAGGCGTTGGACCGTTGAATTATGGTTTACTATGACATAAGAACTGCTCTAATTATAGATCTAGTTCTAAAATTGCAGATTTGTCATGATATAACTGCCTAATTTATAAGATCTTGCGTCGAAGTCACATCATTCTTTACACTGACTCATCGTAACGCAACAATTACTAATATATGATGGTAAAGAAATTCTGGCTAGAGATAGAACAATTTATTTAATATGAGTAACAGCGAGTTGTATCGAGCTACCATGCCTGTGAGATTAAGTCATGTCATCCGATCGATTCGAATTGATTTAATCCATTCTTCCCTCCTTCTCCATCGTTGGATTTTTCTCCGCGTTAATGGTTGAATGCCTATTTTCACAGTTGTCTCCTATTCAGCTTTGAGCATTGTGTGGTTAGGGCACAATGACACTACAAGACTAATGCAAACTTTGCAGTATCATCTTTTGCACTTATTACACCAAATGCCGCTTTCCACAGGGTATAAAAAGAATGAGCTTTGGCATTTGTTGTTTTGCATTGTCCAGTTAAATAATCAGGGTTTTCCTAAAAGAAGCTAGACACGAACAATACCTAAAAACAGAATGAACTGATGACCAGAAAAAAGTAAAAAACTAGATTGTTAGAACCATAATTTCTAACAAATACAAAAAACTGATGTACTCAAGAGTACAGATGATAACTTATTTTTGAAAAACCGATACCGTTGGTGAATAATTCAACTGAAATAAATTCAGTTAAAACGACAACTGTAGTATTGACGGGCAATAAATGATCAAAACAATAAGAATACCACTGTCCTCTTTAAATCGAGCATTTCTCAGCCCATTTCAAGTTAAGTTTCATTTAGTTCTATATCTTCGTGTTACACGAAATGTGAAGTTCTTGTTTTGTACTCAGTTTAATAGTGACTTTTATTAAGCAAAGTGGATTATAATACTCCCTCTGACATGTATTTGTAGACTTTCTTATTATTATCATAGTAAAACAGCCATCTTTGGTAGCTTTGACGTTTATAATCTAGCTGTTTTTCATCACCCATTTACCAGATTTGTGCTTCCATTTTACACGTATATGTGGACAAAACCCATGTGTTCCTGGGGATACGTATCTGCACAAGGATGGTATTAATGTGATTAAAACATATATCAGTGTAATGGTATATTTTACGAAAATGATGCGAATTATCTAAGCATAAGCACTGATGTTCTACTGTCTGAGACCTAAAGCTCGTGTGAGACTGTCTAACTTTCTGTGGAGAGATGACAAGGTTCTAACAATGCGTTAGGAATAACCATCAGCACGTATATTAGTACCTAAGTTGTTCCATTATTCGGTGAAACCTCAAAAGCTGAGGAAAGGAGGGAAATGAGCTGTTTTTTAAGTCTCTGAATGGCAATCATGATAAATCCGAGCTGCGATAGGCGAGCTGAACAGCTCCTAACATTATCATCGAAAGTCTTCCAAGTGATCAGGTGAGAGAGCACATGGGAATATACAATCATCCACCATGCCCAATATCGTCAAATGAGACTTATCTCCTTTATTCTGACAGATACCGGCTTAAGCGATCCATTCATTCTGCGAAACGAAATAAATGGGAGGACGAATTGATATGTAAAACAGAGAGAGAAAAGAATTAAGTGAAATGAATGAGTTTCGAATTACCTTAAATTTTTCTTGGCGCGACTGTGTCGAGTGTTTGTGAGATACGACAACGACAAATGAACTGGTAATGGTTAAAGAACCAATAAACACTGAGAGACGGAAATTGACGACCACGAGAATTCAGCAAGCTTATTTGTTTTTAGTAGTCCTTTTGTAGTACTTAATACCTAATTGAAAGCCTCATGATGCAGTTATTACGAAGCGGAGTAAATCCAAAGAGAACGGTAAACACATACACACCAAATAATCGCACGGACATAAAAATCGGATCAATAAAATGAATTAATTATGTATATGTAACTGATGCAATTCCAAGATGCACCAAGTATTCAAAAGTTGAAGTAATCAAACTGATACTCCATTTGGAAAATCTCAGAACTGTCCCACGTTTCCTGATCATTAAATGCCCCTAACTGAAAATCTTTCCCGGCTGAAGTGACTGCACCGCTCTTATTAGTTAGCTCCAAGAGGAGACTTGTAAGACATATATGTAATATCATCTCCCACGTGGGCTAGCAGTACCTGATCCATTTCTCCTAGCCTGTCCACTGTCATGGTCACTACATATCATCAACTTTTTCTCCACCTGATTTCTATATTTCAAGTCCGTACATTTTTGTCGCCTTATACTGTCCACTTTAACAATTAATTAACTTATTTATGTACTTACTGCTTACAACATTCTTTTTCTCATAGCATTCGGGTTATCACATTATTTTTTAAACTGAGGTGTATCACGCGTTTGCCTAGCAATGTGATGGCTATTGGTTCTGGAAACCTTAATGCATCGTGATAGATTGTCATGAAATATAGAAGCCAGAAAGTAACTATCATATCGTAGAAAACGAGGTGACCTTACTTTGGCATTCTGTATCTTTCTATAACGATTAATGGTGTTGATATCTATGGTTTTCCTGCTCCCTTCAACAATACTAATCTTCGACAAAATAGCAAGAAGATCCAAAAACTGCAACCTAATAAACTCAGAGTGAGGCTCCTTTTTTATAATCACCTAATCAATTGCTGGAACGTCATACTCCTACAAGTGATATTATACTGATCAGTGAACGTTTTCAAGGAGAATCTGAACTTCCATTTGAAAGCAAACTATGAAGATTAACACATGTCCACCAACCTGTTTATATTTGTGAAGACTGAAGAAATCTTATTACAATTAACACAACGGAGTTGCTAGCATTCTGATCATTGGATAATATAAAGAAATTTGATCTGTACTAATGCAACAGAAAAATAATCGTAAAGAAATCAATCGGTTCATACAATCTCGAGATATTGGATACTGGATTTTGGCACGCGAGTGAATCGATTTCCCAAGGTTACTTAAGCGTGTCTCACTATGCTTAGTTTCGAGGATGTGCGCGTGTTTACAGCAACTCAGTCTCTAGGATCCAAACGACTAACCTTCGGTCCACACCACCTCACATTTCAGTTGCTTGATTCCGACGTTATGGTAAGTTAGCGTTTCAAGTGTTGAAGTGAGAGACTGAAACATATTTTATTAAGGTTGAATCATTACTTGTTTATGTCAAACTAAACACCATACAGTGTAATGACGAAACGTTCTGTATAAGTTTGATCTGGTTGTATGAAAAATATTTTTCAACCTCACCCAAGCAAATAAAAACGACATTTCATAAAAAAATTACGCGAATCTGAGAGAAAATGTTCCAGAATGTCGCCTTCACCACCTGCTCTGATAGACAGTGAAACTTTCTCTACAATTGCCTCTGGTTAAAAACGTCCGAAATCACTTGTTTACTTCAAGCGGTCTTCCCACTCAAATCTGCACTAGGTTATTTGCTCCTCATTATTTTTAAGACAGTCTACTTCTAACCTACATCTACACAAATTAGCTTCACTTCCACCAAATAGTCTACTTTTGACCTAAAACTGCTTTAAGTAGTTTTAAGACCAAATAACTACTTCGCTGGGGAAATTAACGTTTGTATTCAGTTAACCTGTTAAAGGAATGGATCTCGTACCGAATGACATTGATTAAGACAAATTTTAGTTTCAGTTTGCAAAAATATTGTTTAAACCAGCGTCAAAGCCACACGTTTCCGTCGTAATCAACATGATTATCTACGGAAATCTGTAGTTTATTTTAAAAAATTGTATGTTTTATGTCTTTTTTTCAAACAAAATACTACTTCATATAGACTTTTAGCACTTACGTCTTATTTGTCTCAATAGGACAGATTCTAGTAAGAATGTTGGTGTTAATACTTTTCGATTTCAGCATAAGAAATTTCATAAATATCTACCTCTAGGTCTCGCATCCTTGTTGTCATTATGGGGAATAATTTTCCCCAGTTTAATTTTGAAGTAGAATAACGATTTCTTTGAACTAACAGAGTCTTGTTGAAGATATATCCTCAAACCTTCTAGTTCCTCTTCAGTTGACAGAGAGAAGTGGAACTGCGATAATCTTGCACGCAGATTGTTAGACACGCTATCGACTGTTGCATTTTTCTAGAAATGGACGTCGTCAGCCGTAATTCGGCAGACAAGTCGGATACGACAGTTACAAGAGTTAATGAAATGCCATGCAGTTTAGTGAACCTTTAGGACTAAAAACAATTTCACAAATAATTTACTCGACATCAGTTCCACTTCTAATAGGCTTTAATTAACATCATTTTGATGAAATTAATAATGAGTGACTATCTGACTGTCAGACATTCTGGTTGTGTTTTGGATGTTTTTAGAATCGGCACTTGATTTACATAAAGATTATAGGAGTACTCTGAGAATATGTACCAATGTTGAACTGAGACTCATCAGTAGTCATGTCATCACTACCTCGGGTTACTAATGTAGTGAAGAAATTAATTAATTAATTAATGTGTAGAGCTATCCAATAAGAACCTTGAATATATGGATAAAATTATTACAGCAATTGGTAACTCTACGCCACTTCGCTCTGGACTTAGTGCTTCAAAACCTCAACGAAGTGTGTTGCATCTTAGATGATGTCTCTGAAAAATAAAGGGATGTGGATTATTCCTGCTGTACTTAGGACCCGTGGTTAGAACAACCTACCATGTTATGCCGTCACGGTGACCATCTGAAAGTAAAGCATATCCCCCAGAATTCCAAATTAGGACCTCAGTGTTTGTACGGGATTGTCGGACTAATCTTAACCGATGGATAGAATGAGACATAACGAAAAGATAGGGGGTGTTATATGAATCGTCTGTAGGAAAAGGCAAATGGATTCGATATTTTAGATCAGTTATGTAGAAGAACTACTCCTAATTCCACTACTACTATAAGAATGCAGCTAGATATTTTGCCCAACACTCATGAAGAAATTAAAGCATTATGAACACCAGAGCCAGATTTTCGGTGAAGAAGACGGGCATTCGATGCCAAACGACTTCATACAAAAACAAAAGATACTGTATAACCAAATACGTGTGCAAAAGAAAACTAATCTTAAGGCAATTTTCACTCGGTAAACTCAACACATTTTCATGAATCCTTGCCATTAATTTTCATTGTATGTCAGTTTTACTTAGTTACTTGATTTTCAATGCATTTTCCTTTTACTGGGCACTTCATTATAGATTTGTATGTACTAGCAATTACTCAGTTAATAAAACTGTGTAATTAGTTATCACTCAATTGATATATAACTGATTTAACTTGAATGTAAATTCAACCATTCTTTAGTTTCGTTCAATAAATCTAAACAAGATTAATCTTTCAGGTCTCCGGGGGACTATGGTTAGTAGAGCTGTTGTATATCGCAGTTGTCGTTAGAGTCGTCTCCATGTAAGTTTTTCTCTTTAAGTGCAGAATATCGTCCAAGGCCTAATGTGTATCACTGCGTGGTTTAACAGTAGGAGGGTGAACTATTGAACATAACCACTTGATTTATCTTGTAAGTCTTACAGACCTTGGAGGCCGATGATTTCTCGGTACTGTTGTTCTACCTTATTTGGGTTTTGTAAACGTGTTACCTATGATGTAGATGATGTGTTTGTCCGTCGACCAAAGAGTGGGTATTCTGATATGAAGTCCATCCATTGCTTTGTGGCTGTGAAAAATGACCTTTATAGGTAGGTGACACTCGGTACTTGATTATATATGTCTGCAAAGCGTTGTCTGCGTCGAATGATTTCTATACAGTGAATTGAAATCGGTAAATTCTAGCATAATATACGTCTATGATCTGAATTATGTTCTATAGTCCATTGTTTACATGATTTATCCTTTTTCTCCAAGTAATTACTTCTCATTATCTTTTGACTTGTCTATAATTTTTCTTTTATTTCGTAAAGATTATGTACAGAGCAATTGACGGGTTTCGCTTGTGCGAATCACCTACTGAACGTCGATTCACACCATCCGTACTAACTGGATATACGATTGTTTTATATACAAAAGATTTTCATATTTATGAATTAACTGTTAACAGTCTTTCTGTTGCTCGTTCTCTTGAACAGTCATTAGAGGGAGTATCCTCAATTGGTAAGTATTTTGCTTCTTATTTATAACCTCAACTACTTATGTTTTTATTAATAGTTCTTTTTGAATTTTTCTTTAGCTCTCTGTTTTATTTTATTTCATCTATAGCTTATTAAACTATTGGTTGAACAAAACACAGAAAGATAGAACGAGACCATATTAACTTATAAGTGAATATAAATTACGTGTAATGAACGAAACAGTTAATCGTACGTCACCTATAATCTGCCGCATATATGTAGTGGTTCAACTTGCCTCATCATATCAGGACAGCGAGATAAAATTACGAAAAAATGTTTGGGTAGTAGAATTACTAGTAATAGTAGTAGTAGTAGTAGTACTAAAAATGACTACATATTGGCTATTGTGACATTCTGAGCCATATTACCTAACATCTCCAACGATTGATTGCATTGATCAAGCTGACCCCAACTAGGTAGTCTGTACCTGTTAGCATGCCACAAGATACCAAAACAGATGTTATTCTGTTAAGGAAGTCCAAATTATCTTACGAAGAATGTAATAGAAAACTGTAGTGAAGTAATCACTTGCTTCCATTCTAAGTCATGTTTGATAATGTTTTAAGCTCTACCACTGGAACCAGGGATTTTTTATGAACTTAGTCTTATACAACTACCTCTCATCCCACTACCTTATTTCATAATACGACGATCTTTCCGTGATATCAGTTAAATTATCTTTACTTCACTTGAACACGTTACTGGACCTCGGTATTGTTTTCACTGTGTTGCTATCGGATCTTAGTAGTCCTCCTGATATATCAATAATTGGATTCGTTGCTTTTAAATTACTGCTTATCATTCTCGATTACTGCCAGCGAAATATAGACTTAATTAAAACACGTTCCGTGTAGGATTATGTTGGGGCACGCTGATTGTCCATCTCTTAGCTAATCAGCGCTAGAGATAAGAATAGCTAGGTCGTATAAGTGGAGATCATAACGATTATCAGTAATTGAAGATTGTTTCACTGCGGCTTAAATGATTGCTGTTGATTGTTGTATATGTTGAACAAGTGGGTTTGTGATTGCAGATACTTTTTAATGTTGACTATCTCCATCTACCATCTTAGATCAATCTGTAAATGTTTTTAAAGGTTTTCTATCGCTTATATTTTTTCTGATAGATGACGTAACATTGCTTTACCCATTCTCTTATAAATCCAACCAATTATCACTTTTACCCGCAATAAAAACCACTGATTGGCCTAATAATATCAACGAGATCTTGTCTGGTGGGAGTTGGCGTAGAAGCCAATTAAATGAAAATTATTTAGTAAGTAGTATTTTGTTTTCTTTGTAGTACATCTTACCGTGAAGTATTTTCTTAAGATTGTATTATATGTATAGTATTAGGACAGTTTTTTGTGCTTAGTTGAATGCTCTGTAGGGAGTTATTTTTCCAGTGAGTGGCTGATTGGTAGAGTCTGTACGAAACTCAACGACTTGGGCTTTACGTTTGCTACGACTGACTGGCTAGGAGTCGAATATTGTATTGACACTCAATTTGAGGGATCTAAAAGGAAACTGGATTAGTAGTGTTCTTAACAATTCGGTGTCGTGATCACGAAGTTCAAGAGACAACCGTTTGGGCCCAATCACACGCAGCTTTTTTGTGAATAGTCTTAGGTAAGCTAGCGCTTTACTTACAGCCCTTGGTGTTGGCAGCGGGAGTCCATGGGGCAAAGTAAGGTATGCTGTCCTTGGGATCAACCTTTTCTAACCCATTTTTACTCTGTGAGTGAGAAGGCAGTATCATTTCAGATGCTGGTTGTCTGGATGAACACCTTACTTCTATTACATCCCTGTCCAAACGACAGTACGACCTCGTTTTTAGGCCTTTGTTACTTCTATTCTCACTGCTTCCCCATTGACCTACCTGGAATGGTTGGGCTTAAAAAAAACAGTCGTCTCAAGCAATATAGTTCGATTGTGTTGTTATGATAGACGGGCCTGACCACTTTGTCAAGCTAGCATCTGCAGTCGGGCAATGAAGTTATTACTGTGAACCATTGCTTGGTAACTCAATAGTCTAAAGATTAGGCATCCTACCCGAAGCCAGAAAGTTTGATTCGTCGACGGTTGCTTACGTGCACTGCTGAAGAGTCCAATCGTGTGACGAAACAGTCATTCAGTGCTTCATGGTTTTCATTAATACTCTATTTAAAGTTTGTTTGTGATACGAACTACATACATTATTATTTCCATGACCGCTTTGCATTCATTTTATTCATCTTTCCCGTTCTAGTTGTGCAATTCTTATCCGAAAACATTTGTTGTACCTGTTAAATGTGATGATCAAATGATTAAAGAAAGTAGCCGATTTCGTCATGGTGGTCGTTTTCCTCTACTGGTATACTATCATAAGCCAAGACAAGTATGAGCCAGTTATGTACACATTTTCATTTTTTGTTAGTTGTAACTTTGTGTTACAATTCATTTATTAAGTACGACTTTCTTTTTTCTAGGTATTCGGCTTTGATCCACATTGTTGTTGTATGTTGAAAACCCATAGAGATACTACTCACTGCTTCCGTAAACCGAAATAAGTGAAGTAATTTGGGTTTTCGGTGAACTGGTTCAAGTGATTCGTTCACCAGTCTACTTCTCCTTGTGTCTGTCACGAGATCACATTTTATATTTCGTACAGTTTATTATAGGATTGCTTAATGTATAGTTCCAGTGTCTTAACTCTACTATTGGGATCTATATTGTCTTCGTGAACAAAGTTCAATTTTAGTTAGGATTGTTTTTTAGTCTTTAATAAACTCGTGATATAAGAGTACTTACTTTCCATTATCATTCATGTGTTAATTGCATCATTACAGGGCGCTTTGTATAGTCCACTTGTCATATGACTTCATTCGAAGCTATATATAACCTTTTTTGTTGTTATTCCTCTAGGTAGTATTCAATGATATAACTTTGAAATGTCAACAAATGATCTGTTTTAGCATTGAAATAAGCGAACATTCATCATTCTTATCATAGTAGTACACTTAGTATTTTTTGTAGATGTCTTTTTTCAACCTGTACGTTCTTGTATAGCTCCCAGTCAGTAGTTCAAGTATCTTATTGTCGCTGACATAGTTCATTCAATGAACATCCAAGTTGGGGTCATTTCTATGAGATTTGGAGTACTTCAATCTAATCTTCTTCAGAATACTTCTCGTTTGTGACAATACACTTGTTCTGTCTGTTTGTATTGTTTTGAATGTTTTCTAAAGTCAATCTTGATATTACGCTCGTTGAACTATGATTCGTCACTAGTGCATATTCCAGAAAAAAAATCAGATTTTTGAGAGACGCCCAATTATACTCAACTTTCAGTTCAGTTTCAACAACTCTTGGGAGAATTTCGTACATTTTTCTCAACTTAAAATATTCTGATTGAAATCATGAACTGGCATAGGTTAGACAACCATCACTTGGCAGTACTCGATGACCGTTTCATCTTGACATGAGACTCCTTAGCGGTACCCATTGACAACCTAACAAGCGGAAATCAAACCTAGGACCTCCGTTCTCGGGCGCAAAACGTTCACCTGTAGCTCACATCTAGACCAAATAATTTGCCGAAATGATATACATAGACAGGTTATTCGAAATAAAATTTATCAATAATCATTCAGATAATAAATCCCCTGATCGAATTACACAAGAAATCGTAGTAGGTTGATGATTGTCCATAATTAACAGTATCAATCATCTAATTTATTTATTAAGAGAACTGTTCATATAATTTTGATTTTCCATAATAAATTATTTTTTTTTTCGTTAGTATGTGTGATATATCTGTATATAAACGTTCGGTTCCACTGAATGATTTCAATACTTGATTTCAATCACTTGTTGCCTATTTTTCTTTAACACTAGTGGTTAGTAGAGTAGATTTCTTTATGGATTTAAATTAGAGTTTATTTTTTATGTAGTGGACTCGAAAATGTCTTATTCTGTGCTCATCACTTCAACATATCTGCTTTCTAATATTGTTGGTATTTGTATTAAGCCTTGAATCCGATGGGTGTCACTTCAAGTACTAATATGTTATCTATTAAACTACTAATCCTAGGGAACCACTAAATTGTTAAACACTACTATCTACAACTCAGAGTGTTGGTTAATTGTTAAAGGTGTTTAGCTTCCGGTCGCTAAGTCCTGGGTCTCTTAATCCTCAATTCAATTCTTCCGTTACTATGTGTGAATTATCTGTATATAGACGTTTGGTTCCACAGAATAATTTCTATACTTGATTCCAGTCACTTGTTACCTCTTTTTTCTAATCTATCTTTTAGACTACTTTATTAATAACTGCTGAACCATTAATTAATCAATCCACAATTACCAACAATCAAAATACTTCAAATTTATTATCATCGTCTAATTCTAGTTTAACTTCATCAACAAAATCGAATAATCTAATGATTAATTCATCTTCAAAAAATTCCATATCACCATTTAGTTCAACATTCAATACTGGTCGATGTCGTTCAGATGAACAATTACTTACTTGTATATTACCAGATAAATGTAGAGGTGTTATATTGGATTTAAGAACACAGAATGAAACAAAAAAACCTCAAGCAACAAGTGAGTTATATTGTTGCTGTTGTTGTTGTGATATTACGAAGTTTTCAAGAGTTGATACTATTACACAGTCAAACTATATACATGAACCCAACCGGTTATTCGAGTAAAAAACAACTGAGACTGAGAAAGTTTGTTGAATAGACTGAATGGGCATATATGTATACTCATTCATAGATATATCTCTTTGTTCCTTAGAAAATTAAACCATTAGTGGTGAATCTTATTCCTTAGAAATGAAAGTCATTCCTTGACCAATCACGTGCATTTGTCATCTGGTCGATTTTTGACTGGCCCAATCTATCAATTATTTTGTTCGTTGTTAATCTTTTTAACACCCCTAAATGCCCTGGTAAGGCCGAGAGTGGGGAGAGTCCGCTTTCCCTCTCGAAATGCCAGGGACGTCCCGCTCACTGGTGTTGTTTACGAAATTGAGAAGACGAAAGGCGAACATCCGGCGCTTTAACCGGGTTGGTGGACATGGAGAGTTCACCCACGGGAGTTGGAAAACCCTGATTCCAAGCCAATAGTGCACATGGGCTCCAGTATCCTAAAGGAACAAATGGTTTATGAACCAATCGTTGGTTACCGGCTACCATGGGACCGCATCTCCTCACGATGCTCCACTGCCTTGCGGATCAGACCTTCAGGTCGGGGGCCTCGGTAGTGGCTCCCTAAGAAAACCACCTGCTTCGGTTTGGGCACCCGGACAGTATCACAGCCCTCACACATCAAATAAGATTTGTGTGGCGCATATGTGTCTTTTTAACACTGTTGGTTAGTAGAGTAGATTTCTTTATGGATTTAAATTAGAGTTTATTTTTTATGTAGCGTACTCGAGAATGTCTAATTCTGTACTCATCACTTCAACATATCTGCTTTCTAATATTGTTGGTATTTGTATTAAGCCTTGAATCCGATGGGTGTCACTTCAAGTACTAATATGTTATCTATTAAACTACTAATCCTAGGGAACCACTAAATTGTTAAACACTACTATCTACAACTCAGTGTTGGTTAATTGTTAAAGGTGTTTAGCTTTCAGTTGTTAAGTCCTGGGTTTTGACCCCGCTCTGTCCATTTCGGTTCGGGCAACCGGCTAGTATCATTAGCTCTCACACTTCGAGTGTGGCTACCTGATTTTTCCAAATTGAAGTGAAAAGAAACCTGTAACGACAAAACAATATCTAGACAATTGCTCAAAGAACCCATATTACAACAGAGACTGACCAGATTTCAATGGACAGCCAGAACAAATGAATAATTAATCACTGTATTAAAAAGAACTGTAATTTTTGTGAGAAATTTTAATTAGGTCAGGTTGTGAAACGTTGTACGTTCAGTTTTTTCTTTCATTACAATATTATAAAATTATATTTCTTGTAGCTCTTCTAGAGTTACCGCCGGTCCCAAGCCCGGGCAAAGGAGGAGGGTTAGACATAGGGTTGTCAACCCCATCCGGTAGAAGAAAATTTTGCTAAACAAACTCCAACCAGATTAAACAGATTAAATCATTCAAACTCTGCCCTGGGAGTTGAAGAAAGAGTTTTGACGCTTCGTGATGAATGCCGGGATTCGTCGGAAGTCACGAGGCCGATGCCCCTTCTAACAACCAGGGCAACAATTTGCATCAGTAAAAAATTCACAAGGTCAATGTAAGACGTGCGAACCAGGAAAGGAGTTGATATAGCTTCAGATTGTCACCTGGTTGTGATCAAGACGAAACTGAAGCTAAAGAAACATTCGACAACTAGAGAAACAGCATTAAAAACTTTCAATACAGTCTTCCTTCTACGTACTGATAAGCTCGACGAATTCAAGATAACTCTCAACAGCAGGTTCTAAGAATTACAAGATCTACTCAAAGAAGAAGAAACTTCTATAAAGGACCACTAGAGAGGGATAAAGAGGCATTAACTTCAACGTGTCAGGAGGTACTGGGCCGCAACAAGCATCATCATACGGAATGGATTTCTATCGAAACCCTGGACAAGATTCAAGAAAGGGAGAACAAGAAGACAGCAATTAACAACAGCCGAACAATAACAGAGAAAATCAAAGCACAATCTAAATACACAGAAGCAAAGAAGCAGAGGAAGAGCGTTAGAGCCGACAAGCGGAAATACGTGGAAGAGCAACGATGGCGGAAGAAGCTGCAAGTGAAGGAAATATGAGACAACTAAATGGCACGAAGAAGAAACTGGTAGAGAAATATAGTAAACCAGCGAGATCGGTTGAGTACAAAGAGGGCAAGCCAATCACTGAAATTCAAGGACAGGAACAGATGGGTAGAACAATTTGATGAACTCTTGAATAGACCAGCTCTAATAAATCCGCCGGATATCGAACCAGCACACACAGACCTTCCTATAGATATCACTCCACCAACGATCCAGGAAACCAGGATGATCATCAGACAAATGAAGAATGGGAAAGTAACAGGACCTGACAATATACCAGCTGGAGCACTAAAGTCAGACATAGAAGTAACAGCGAACATGCTCTACACTCTTCAAGAAGGTTTGGAGAGAGGTACAAATGCAGACAGACCTGAAAGAAGAATACCTCATCAAGATACAAAAGAAAGATCTGAGCAAATGTGAGAACTACAGAGGTATCACAATACTGTCAGTACCAGGAAACGTTTTCAACAGTGTTGCTGAACCGGATGTAAGACTCAGCAGACGTCCAACTTCGAGACCAATAGGCTGGATTCCGTAAGGATCGGTCATGCACAGACCAAATTGCGACACTTCGGATCATCGTTAAATAATCAATTCAGTGGAACTCGTTACCATGCTTTAATCTCATTGACCATGAGAAAGCATTTGACAGTGTGGGTAGAAGAACATGGAAACTTCTTCGACGCTACAGAGTTCATTCGGAATTCATACGACGGACTAGACTACGATGTCGTGCATGGAGGACAGCTGACAGATGCATTTCAAGTGGGGAGCGGAGACAGAGAAGGCTGCTTACTCTCTTCCTTTCTTTTCCTTCTGGTGGTTGAATGGATTATGGAGACCTCGACATCTGAAGGAAAGCAAGGAATAACAAGGATAGCTCTAAATCATTTAGACGATTTGGAGTTTTCAGATAACTTGGCCCTTCTATCCCATGCACATCAGCAAATAGTGTATCAGCAGCCTCTGCATCAGTATGCCTCAACATACACAAAGGAAAAAGCAAGATCATCAAATACAACACAGAAAAAACAAACCCGGGAGCTCTCGAAGATGTAGAATCTTTCATGTTTCTATGTAGCATCATCGATGAACGTGAAGGATCTGATACGGACGTAAAGGCGAGGATCGGTAAGGCAAGGACCACATTCCTGCAATTGAAGAACACATGGAACTCGAAACAACTGTCAACCTACATCACAGTCAGAATCTTCAATACGAACGTCAAGAAAGTCCTACTGTACGAGACTGAAACGTGGAGAACTACTACAACTGTCATCAAAATGGTACAAGTATTTATAAATAGTTGTCTATGTAAGATACTCAATATCCGTTGGCTGGATACCATCAGCAACAACCTTCTGTGTGTGAAGACAAACCGGCTTCCAGCTGAAGAGGAAATTAGGAGAAGACGTTGGAACTGCATAGAACATACATTGTGGAAATCACTAAACTGCATTACGATGCAAGCACTAACGTGGAATCCTGAAGGGAAACGGAAAAGAGGAAGGCCGAGGGACACACTACGTCGGGAATTGTAAACAGACATGAAAAGAATGAATAATAACGTGAAAGAACTGGAAAAGATAGCCCAGGACAGAGTGGGATGGAGAATGCTGGTAAGGGAGTCAATTATCAACAATCTTACTGGCGTATATGTGGTTTTAGTGAAGGCTTGACAACGATTTCATCTGATAATCGAGCATTTTAGCAGTACATAACCACTGCCCTATCTGAGATTGAGTCTAGGACCTTCAGGTCTTACTTCAAGCTGTGACGTACTCTCAAACCACTGAATCCACTCAATCTACGTTGTAGCACGACAACAAACTGATCCTATCGATAGCGACTAACCCTTTCCTATCGTGGTTGGATTTCATCTGTCACAATCATCCACTGGTAGTGTAGGAACTCATCTTAAAGTTAGACATTATTATCCATATGCTTTTATTTTGGTGATTGATATCCAGTCGGTGATGAATAACAACATATAAATTAATCTCCATAGATCTGTCAACCATTCAATTTGTTCGTTAGTTTTTCATGTTAGAAATTTGCATTATTGACAATGAAATAAAATCCAATTAACACTAACCTCTTTTAACCCTTTTTCTCCTTCTCAGGTGGTCTTGTTGAATTTGAACAATATTATCCACAATGGAGACGAGTTTGTAGACCGTTAGAATCTACGGGTAACTTGATTGTCACTTTCAGGAAATTCATTTATGGTAAGATTTTTAAAAAAATTCGTTTATGTATTTCTATGTGTTTTGACGATTAATTTTTTCTTCCTTGGCAAATAGTCGTTTTGCTGATTCTGTCTGGGAATAATTGTGACAACCTAGCTTAAGTCTATAAAATTTTGGACTTAAAAACCGTACTACTCTACTACTGCTAGGATAGTGAGAAACAATTAACGTTGAGAACATTATTCTATGAGATGAAATGAAACGATATGCATGAAGAATACTGAACCTGAAGATTCAGAGGAAGATAAAGAGTGCATTCATCTGCCTCACTGTTACTGATTTTCAGTCGTGTCACCAAACGTCGCTAATTACTAATCGAGATCATCATACAGATCACTACCAGGTAGTATGCAAATACCTATATGATTCAGACCAACTTTCAACGTTTTCATGGACTGATGTCACGTTTCAGTTTGTTCACCTAATAGCTTTTTCCCAATCTATTCCTATACCAGACAACATTCGTCGAGGTAGGCGGTGGTTGGGGATATCTGTAACATGTCCCAACCACGGTTGATATAAATTCACAACCTCATAACCAAACTTATCTGTCTGCCTAGTACTCCATGCACAACTTCAGCCTTGTTAATGCAGTTGTTCGATGATTCGCGAGCATAGCTTCTAAGACAATAATGATTCGAAAATCCTACAGCCTACGCAATTCTTTGGTATTCATAGGGAAATATAACACATGTCCCAACCGAAATAATCGATAAAATTTTCTAGTCTCGATTTTCATTGTACAACTGACCACAGTTAGATGTTCTCCTTAGTCATGGAATATTTTTATCTTTTAAGATATTTGTTATATCCCAGAAATCAATATACATTGAGCGAAATATTGTTGTTTGTTGAGCGTGTGAACAACACATGCCTTCTTTATTGACTAATCTTAAAGTATTATTGCAATTTTTAGAGTTATAAAACACCTTGATAGTGTTTAAACTATTCTGTTTTATTCTAATCAATAAAAGCTTGTACATCATATGGTCGTGTAACTCGATCTTCAAGCAACACAACATTTGGTGCACTTCAATCCGGAATTAGTGATTCTATTGGAATGTTGTCCAGTGCCGCATTGAATCCAATAGGAAGTTTTGGATCACGTAACTCCACGGCTGCATCGATCCCATGTGACAATTCAGTCAATTCATTTAATGATATCACTGTTCGTGAACAAATAAATACATCGAGTAAAAATGAATTGATCTCGAATTTCGCTCAACTAGATATTCAGTCTACTAATTCAACTACTGAATCTGATTTAAGTAGTAATAATAATATAAAGAAATCAAAAAAACTTTCAGCTTGGTTATCATTAGTTCGTGAAGCGTTAGCAGCTGCTGTTGCTGGAGCAACAGCTTTGGACGCTTTGGATGCATTCGCTCAACAACAGCTTCAACAAGAACAATGTTTGTTAGCTGAAAAACAGAGAAGAGCATCAAAGGAGCAAACTTTCGAAGAGGCGAAATTACGTGGATCATGTGTATTAGTGCAAAGTCGAAAAGGAACTGATCGAGCTATTCTCGTGGCTAGTTTGATTCAAATCATATTAAATCCTGAGTCTAGAACTATACAGGGGTAATTGGGGTTAACTTGTTTGGAGGGGTTTTTCTCGTAGTACTGTTTACAGTATAATTTTCAGTTTATACTATTCTCTGTGAATTGTAACAGCTGAAAATAATTCACTATCCCTAGTTTACATTAATTTTCAGTTCAGTATATACAAGTTTCATTTTTCCTACCCGTAACAAGTTGATAGTGGCATTTATATCATAACAGTCTCGGGAAGTTGAAGTATCTGTTCAGTACAAAACGTCAGCTATTTTATGTAAAAGTTGTTTGTGAAAATCCATTCACTGTATTTTCTCTGAGTTAGAGATAATTGGACAGTAGTTTTTAGATCTTTGGTTTTTCATCAATTAATGGGAAGTATTAAATTGTAATTGGCGGGGCAAAATTACAGCTTTTCCAAACAAATCAACTATTGATAAGTTCAACCCTCGTTGCACAATCTAATGACTCTCTGGGCTTAGTAGCTCCCCGAATAACGCGATGGACATTTGAAACGAAAGGTAGTGGGTTCGGGTCCTGATATATGCATCGGAACTGGGATGTTCATAAGTCCAACCGACGGGTCTTTATTAGGACGAAACGCAACCCGGAGTTTACTGCTAACCATTTTCCAACTTTATATAAAAACATAATGCTAATATCGAGGTAATTCACCCAGGATACGTGTATAAGAAAAAAAGAATAATCAAAATTTAACTTCTAGCATCATTAACGGGAAGACTCAATCTCTTACAAACAAGTAGTACAAATCAACGATTGGTTGTCTGTTCACTGTTTCTCAAGGAGAAACACTTTTTTCTGCGTTAAATGATTAATGATCAGTTTCTTTTGAAGGAAACATTCTTGATACACATAAATTCGGTAACAATCGTGGTGGATTATAATAGTTATTGATAATATCTTCCAGTTATCGCTATTTTGAAATTTGCACTAACAGTTTCGTTTCGTTGCGCCAATAAGGTATGTTAACTTGAACCAATGTACAAATATTGTAGGTTTATTTTATTTTATTATTTATTTGAACACATCAATATTGGTACAAAGGGGCATCCAATGCATATGCACCACACAAGTCACTTGATACTGCCCGGGTGCCCTGATTGAAACTGGTGGTTCTCTCAGGGGGCCTCACCTGGAGCCTTCGACCTAAGGGTCTGATCTACAAGGCAGTGAAACAATGTCAGGAGACGCAGTCCCATGGTAGCCTATGACTAATGATCGGTTCGTATGCCATTTATTCCTTCAGGATACTGGACCCCATGTACACCATTGGCTTGGAATCAGGGTTTTAAAATTTTCCAAGTGGACTCTGTGTCCTCCAACCCAGTTAAAGCGCCGGATATTCGCTTTTCGTCTTCTCAATTTCGTAAACGACACCCGTGGTGCGAGAAATCAGTGGGTAGGACTTAACTGGCAGTGGCTGTATACCTGGAACACCCGTGTGGTAGGCGAGCATTCTACCATTGAATCACCGACGCGATGTTCTAGGTTCTACAGCACATATGACTAATGCATCTGTATGACCTGATGTTCTAACCATGAGACATGAATATTGTAGGTTTGTTCGTTTTGGGAATCTTTGGTGACCACCATTGAGGATGAAACAACTAAGGTATACCATATGGATTTATGATGCTGAGATTAAAACAATCAACTGAAAACATGAGTGCACTAGACACCTGTTTCTTCTTAGTACGGGACTGACTCTTTGATCTCACCAGGGGTCGGACCTAGGATCTTCAAGACTAGTGGAGTCGCTTAACCTTCAGATCACTTAGTCGTCATTTATTGGTTTACATTTTTAACTTAAGTATATTAATGATATTACGTGACTATCATTTGAATCCTTGTGAGATCGTGAATACACATTACTGATTAGTCCCGTACTAGCATGTACCAGGTATCTAATACTTCCTGCTTTTTATTTGTGGTCTAATGAAGGCTGGTTCATGATATGAAACTTCAAATACTAATTCATTTTGATTAACTGTCATCTTTTTTCGTTTAATCTTGTTGCGTTCACAACTATTTAGATTTCAAGAACTTATCGACCATACATGGTTAAACGCCGGACATCCATTTGCAGATCGTTGTCAAAATTCCGCTTTCTCACTTAAACCACCAAAAGATGAGAGTCCAGTGTTCATTCTATTTTTGGATTGTGTTTGGCAAGTAGGTGCGTTTTTTTGAATTGAATTTGCTCTATGTGTTGCACCAGTAACTCTTACTTTTAATCATAATCCTATCCCCAATTCTAAATCTGGTCTTAACTCAATCTTATTTGTTAATTCTATCGAAGCGTTCACTTATAGGATTAAGATACATGTGAAACCAAAGTTAAAAAAGAAACAACAATTATCTAAAATAAATGGTTCTATTATTAAGGAACAATGCATAAATTAGTTACTAACTTGAACTCTTGAGATATCTGCAGTAATTAACTCGTGGGTATGTTTGGAAAGCGAAAGAATTCCTCTATTAATAACATGAAGGATGATTAAAACATATGATAGAGTAAATGAGAATAGATACTTGTGTCTAATGTTAAAAACTTAGCAACAATTAAGACTGCATCTCCTAACATTACTCTACTGCCTTGTGGATTAGACCTTTAGGTCAAAGGCTTCGACTGTAGCCCCCTAAGAAAATCCCTTGTTTCGATTTGGGCGCCCGGACAGTATTCTAACCCTCACATAAATTGAATGATAAAGTGTAGTACATATATATTTGGTGCATTCTCATACCAATGTTTATGTGTTTAAATAAACAAATATTTCGGTTTGAAGATTCGTGTATTATCACTAATCCTCATATTTAGATTGTAACTTCAAGCCAAATCCTATGAATCTGTATGTGATGAGTGGGTTTCTATCAACATTTATACTAGTCAACTATGAGATGCAGACTACTTGGTTGGAGTCCTCGTGACTATCGTAACCAATGGTTGGAGACTCTTGGTGACATGGCTCAGAATCGATCACAATGGCGTCGGTGTATACACTCTCTGTCTTCCCTTAAACTGTGAGATTAAAATCGCTTCATGTCTTTCTTTCTACGAACTAATTCTTTCTTCCTGTATTATATCCTTATAAGCAATCTTTCTTTTATATATTACAACCTCTGAACTAACTACTTTTATGAATCCGGTGTTCATCTTGTTGTTGTGTTAATGAGGTATGGCCACTTGGACCGATGCATATATGTGTCTGGTCCTACGTTGTAGCTGACTGACTGACTAGTTAAGTATATGTTAAATGAGATATGTCGTTCTAATCAAACTATCTTCTGTTTCCTTATAATGAATAATGTTATTGTTATATACTCATTTACTGACTCTTTCTTTTCTCATTTTGTTTTTCCTTAGTTACTTCGTCAATATCCGAATTCATTTGAATTCACTGATGAACTGCTTTGTATTATTGCAAAACATGCTTATTTCTCTGAATATGGTGAGTATTAGTTACAATATTATTGTTGATGTATTCATTGTAATAATTCGCTTTTCGTCCTCTCATTTTCGTAAACAACACCCTCGTCACGAGAAGGCAGTGAGTAGGACTTCCCTGGCAGAGGCTGTATACGCGTGGCCGTGTGAGAGCATTTCGAGAGGAAGGGAAGGCCCACCCCACTCTCGGCCATACCAGGGCATTTGGGTGCTTTAACCGGATCCCAAACCAATGGTGCACATGGTCTACAGTATCCTGAAGGAACAAATGGCGTATGAAACAATCGTTGGTCACCGGCTACCATGGGACCGCATCTCCTCACGATGCTCCACTGCCTTGTGGATTAGACCTTTAGCTCAAATGCTCGGGGTGTGGTCCCCTAAGAAAACCACCTGCTCCGGTCTGGGCACCCGTACAATATCACAGCCCACACACAAATATGATGTGGCGCATGTATATTTGGTGCCCTCTTGTACCAATATTTATGTGTTCAAATAGTAATAATGACACCTTGTAAGAATTGATTATTTTATTAGTAAAGTTATTTTAGGTTTCATATGTTTTAATGGATTATGTTTAGTTGAACCTCAGATGATGAACATGATCTTTGGTCTTTTCAATATTAGGTATTATGTACACCCGGTGTATATAAATGTCAGTGCAAATAATGTTATTAACTACATGTTCCATCATCTGATTTTGATCTACATGAACTGAACTAATATTTTTTCTATATATGAAAATATCTAAGGAAATGATGATGAATCACAGTGTACGCAAATACGCTCATCACCTTGAATCAGTCAGACCTTAATTATATGTCTATAATTTATATCTAGCGTCAACTAGTTTATCTACCTATTGGTTCTTTTTGTATCTACGGTTCTACTGTTTATACTTGGAAACGGGAATACAAGTGAAGTCTTACTGGCTCTCAAAATACATATCCCCTAATGTTCACATCTATCACAGTGAACAACATTTACACACAATTAATTCAAAATAGTGTTGTTATGACTTTTACCCCTACCAATTATCATGTGACAAAATCAGCAATCAGAATACCGACTTATATGACACTGTTCTTGTGTTAAACCAATGACACGTCAACCAGTACTAGCAGCTTTGTATCGATTCTGAATCCTTATTGGTCCTCAACATAGTAGCTTCTCGTATAGCCCTGTCCATTGAATCCAGAACTCAGATATCATCCTTCGGTATATAAATCGTATATTTCAGAAATACTCACTGTATATATAAGCAGACCAGACCTCATCGTACAATAGAATAAAAAAATAATTGTATAAGATCAAACCAAAAAGGGGCTGTGAGTGTAAAGACTAACTAATAGTAGTCAATAAGTCAATTGAAAGTTTATCATTAAAGGAATATAAATATACATATAATCTGGTTAGTGAATAGCTATCTAATAAAAATATATGTAATAACAGTTCACAAATAGTTCCCAGCAGTTACTTTTCTTACTACTGATTTACTCCTGTTACCCCTCATGGATAAGGATAGGTCTTCCGTCAGCATTTTATATCTAACTCTGTTCTAAGCAATTCTTTCCAGTTATTTTTAGTTGCTATTCATCCTTTTGATGTCTGCTTCGAATTCTTGGTCCAGTGGGTTCTTTGGTCGTTTTCTTTTCCGTTTCCCTTCCGGATTCCAAGTTAGGGCTTGCTTCGTGATGCAGTTTGGTGATTTTTACAATCTATGGCCTATCCACTTTCATCGTCTTTGGGAACAAAATTAGTATCATAAAATGAGATCGTGGTTAGAGTTATTCGACAGTAAACCCACCATCTTGCCTCAAAATAGTGCACGTGATGTCGAGTCACCTAGATTAGTGGCCACATTTTGCCCATAGAATTCGATCTGCACACACATGACATTGATCACTACCCAGTGATCAATCAATTGTAAATATCATGAAATGTTACACCAAGTTAGAGAGAATGTGAGTTCGTCTTCTTATTGCCAACTTATCACTACATTCAGCTACTAACCATTGAACGTTGATATTTCTATAGTTCAGTCAATAAGTATGAGTAATCGAGCCATAAAAGCCTTAAAAAATTTGATCACAGTTTATAAGAAAAGCCTCTCGCTACTCAGTTAAGTTAGCTGATTTAAAGTTCCTGTTCCCGAAATACAAAGTGGTCATGAAAGAGAACAACATGCATATCAAGATGTGATACAACATGAAATAACAATAGAGCGATTGAGAAAAACAACAACTGACGTTTAGTGGATTAGTTGGAGTTAGCCATTAACACCACTGGATGCCGGCTGGCTCAGTGACCTGGTGGTTAATCGCTCGCGCGCGAGACCGCCAGGTCCTGGGTTCGAGTCCTGTGAGGCGGGGTCGTGGATGCGCACTTCTGAGGAGTCTCACAATAGGACGAAACGGCCGTTCAGTGACTCTAGGTTTTCCATGGTAGTCTAACTTCAATTGACTCATCTCAACTATTGAATTTACTACAATCTACACAAAACCCCTTCTGAAACTGAAGTTTCATCAATTTTATTCATTCTGAACTATTTTTCAATTGTGACAATAAATATATTCGTCTCATCTATCTTCGAAATTTATCATCTATGTTTGAATTATTCAAAATATCACTGAAAGTTTCTACTTGTTAGGGATTTCCAAATGTTTGGTTATAGTTTGATAAACAAACTATTTTTCCTCGACTTCAGTTCATTATGAATTACAGAGATAGTGAATCAGATATCAAATAGTATAAGAATCTATTCTATGTTTTCATTAGTTCATTAAATTTACAGTCATTCTGCATCATCTGTGAATAGCTTCCGTTGAAATACTCATTTACTCATTCTATCAGTTTAATGTAACTCATTTCATGGGTTGATTACAGTTGTATGCTACAATTTAATTTTTCTCGGTTTTTTTCTTCTTCTTGAAGGTACATTTTTGGGCAATTCTTCACAAGAAAGAGAACAATTGGATATTTCATCTAGAACATTTTCTTTATGGTAAGTTAATTGCTAAGTGAATAGTGCAAGCTTTTCAATGAAAGTTGTTGATATAGTAGATCAATTCAAAATCACCAAATATGTTTTGGAGTATATGATTGGTTGAGAAATGATTTTCCTTTCTAAGGAATATGCCTAATTTTTGAGGGGAGTGTATATACCATCTATTCAGCTTAGCCAGATAAACTTTCTTCTTCATTTGTGTTTTTTCTCAGGGTAACTGAGCTTGTGTACATGAAGAGTACGTATCATTATCAGCTTTCGGACATCGCGCATCACAACAGTTTCCTTCCTCCTCACAGACTATATGAGTGGTGTATCTAAATGACCGATTATTGAACACCAGTAATGAATAAGTCAATTGATTCCATGGTATAGTCTGTCATATTATGGCTATAGATCTTACTGTCTTGTATCTTGTAGTGGTTTTATTTGCAATATAGAAGAGAATCTTCCCAATGATCTTCCAGGCGCCGGTTATGTTTGTGGCCACGCGTATATAGCCTCTACCGGGGAAGTCCTACCCAACTGCCTTCTCGCACCATGGTTGTTGTTTACGGGATTGAGAGGATGAAAAGCGAATGTTCGATGCTTTGACCGGGTTGGTGGACATGAAGAGTCCACCTAGGGGAGGTGGAAAACCTGACCCCAAACCAATGGTACACATGGGCTCCAGTATCCTAAAGGAACAAATGGCGTATGAACCAATTGTTGGTCACCGGCTACCATGGGACTGCATCACCTTATGATGTTCCACTGCCTTGTGGATCAGACCTTCATGTCGAAGGCTCCCGGTGTGGCCCCATAGGAAAACGACCTGCTTCTGTTTGGGCACTCGGGCAGTATCACAGCCCTCACACATATCAAATGAGATTTGTGTGGCGCATATGTAACTGGTTCCCCCTTGTGCCAGTATTTATGTGTTAAAATAAATAATAAAATATGTTTGTGTTACTACCATACCATACGTATTTCAGATTACAACTGTTCATTCTTGTTGAGATGTTTTAATTTTTGTTTTTCTAATCTACAGTTAACTCATGATAGTCATCTGAATATCCATCATCTCTCCTATACACACTTGGTTTTTATAGGATCAGATATAAAACCCTCGTTAAATAATTTTTTATTCTCAATCCGTAAAGGATATAATTTGAGCAAACTGATTTTTAGCGTAAAACGTATTTTATTAGCATTGTTGGGTAGAAATTATTTCAAACTTGACTTTTTTGTACGCATCATTGGATATTGGCTAGAATCTATGGACACCTCAGTATCCATGTGCATATTGATACTCGGATCCAATGTCTGTCCTTTCAAACAACCATCGCGTTATCTACTGAACTACTGAGTTCCTACAACAACTTGGCTTGTGCAACATGAATGAATTTTAATTCATTTGTGGAGGTTGTTTAAATTTTCATGCTAATGTTAATGATAAGCCAGTGGTTATTTGGACTCAATAGCTAAGTGGATAACACTTTAGGCGTTTAAAGAGAAACATGCTTGACTTGAGTCCCCATGTGAACATCAGCATTGGATTACAGGTGCATCCAGTTAACAAGTCACGTGTACGACAGGACGGTCATACTGTACTCCACTGTTAACGACTATCCAACTATACTTAATAGTAATATCGAGGCTATCCACACTGGATGCACACTGGCCAAAACAAACTGAATATTTGTTATGTTTAGCATCAACAGTATGATTCAAACAATCCTCACAAATCAATTGACCTTCCTGTTTCTAATTACTTTTCTCAGTCTACTTATTTTTATCATTATAATTGTAAAGGGTGTTTTTTTAAGTATAATAGTTTATAATTATTAGTGGTTGAAATGAATTGTGTTATTTCGTTGTTTAGCCGTCCACTGATCTTTTCTCGATTATAAAAGGTCGAGTTTAGTGAGCAGTAGTTTGTTCTGTTCTATTTTGTGGTTATAAAGTATCCTTTAAAGGAATAAAGCATATTTGTAGGCTATTAGTATTCGGTCATAGGTATCTTTGAAGCATGACTCATGCATTTTGGGACCACTAAGTGAGCAATGCCGAGGTTAAACTCAGAGTAGTAAGTGAGGGTGGCAAATAGATTGATGAGGTAGTGAATCTTAATCAACTGAGGTGGTCTAAACATCCATTACGTATGTGTAACCGCCACCTATCTTGTCGTATGATGTTTATAAATATAGAAGTAGGTTGGGAAGAAAATAGGGGCTACCAAGACGTGACAACAGTAGATGTAGTCACTGATCATTGAAATGATGTGTTTAGGTAAATCCATAGTACGTGATGTAGATCCGGATGGCTGTCGTAATCAATGGTTGGGGATGTTGCGTTATATTGTTGAGACTCAGTCACAATGCCATATATATATTCACTCTATTGATCTTTTTCAGTCCTGATATGGTGTAGCAACTTGAACTGATTCACAAATATCCCAAGTTCCATATTATTTGTGTGCATTCTCCTTCCAGACGTAGACATATAATCACTGTCATTTCTATCGTCAGTGTTTTTATAATGTCAAAATATATTATTAGTGTGTTCTTTAATCTTTTCTTAAGGTCATACATCAATCAACCATTTGTGACTAGTCGTTTACAGAATCCATTTTATTCTGGTCAAAAAAATGATGATAATTCTCAATCAACAACCATAATTGATGGGAATTATGCATGTTGGCCTTGTTTATCTGCACAAGCATTAGTGAGTAAATTGATTGTTAATTTGATACTACTGCTAAGAGAAAGTTCATAAGTCATCAGCTATTAACCGCTTGATTCCATATTTTGTGTCTTTGCAGGTTGCAGTGTTGTTTGAAATCCATTATCAGTCAAAAGCAACTTAGAACTGGTTACATATGTCCATCTATCGAAGTTGCCCACATTGCACATCAGCACAGCGTGAGATTAACACCAAGGTAGAAGTGTTTAGAATCCATAAATTGTGGTTATCACAATAAGTTGTAATATGGTGACTGTATTAAGTCAGTCATCACAGGATATTCACATGTCCACAAAGATCGATAAAGATTCAGTCTCCAATACTTTCGACAGGATAACTCCAAACCCCTCCTACTAATGATACAAAGTAGTATTAGTAGTAGTATCAGTGACAATAAAGATTAGACATACATAATATGATTAAAGGAAGAGTTAATCCTCAGAATGTAAGGTATGAAATAGTTTTAAAATTCAAGATTTAAGGAGAAATAAACAAATTAATACACCTGGCCTGTTGTGAGCCATGCTGTCAACCAAAGTGTCTAACTATTGGACTAGTGACACCACATACTTACTTAAACATAAGTAAGTGTTGAATCGGTATTGAAATCTACAATTTAGTGGTGTCAAGAACTCCTAAAACCCCCCCTGGGGCTACTACCGGCCTCAAGTCCGGATAAAGGAGGGGGGTTGGGCATGGGGTTAGCGAACCCATCTCGTAAATAACTAACTCGCTAAAAAACGCTAACCAAAACATTTGAACTCTACCCTAGGAGGTAGAAGGTCTTCATTTAGAAGAGTTATGATGCCTCATGATGAAAGCAGAGTTCCTTCGGAAGTCACGAAGCTGATGCCCCTTCTGACAACCAGAACAACTATTGATGTGGGTATATGGAATGGTCGTACCATGTGGAGATCGGGAGAATCATCCAAATTGCTGCAGTTTCAGTGAAGTACCCTATTCATTGATTTTTGGTTATGCTCAGTTGTGTAGATTATTTAGCAGTACATTTTCTCTTTATAATATTCTCTCTTTCTTGTTTAGAAGGCTTTGTAAATAACTATTTGACTTGTCTATGCAATTTTTTGAAGGATATCTGGGAAGAACTATATCAGCATCAATTAGTTGGTATTAATCCTAGTCTATGGAATTTGCCTCGGGTTATGGCACGTGTAATTAAGGACAAATTTGAAGCGGAACGGAATAGAACTATTCAATTACGCAAGTAATTTATTTGGTTATCTACTGTTGTGAGAACTAATAAATAGTTTGATCTTATCATTCTAAACTTGAATACTGAACGTCAAACAGGTTCGAATGTTATAGGGTAGTATCAGTTCCTTCATGATTGTAGATGTATTTATATCCAGAGCTTAACACTAACTATCTCGAACACATATATATTCTGGAACACTACTGATCTAGTCAGAGCTTTATGGCAAACTATCACTGGAACTTATAACTTCAAGTAGTGTTCGTCAGATCTGTTAGCTTTCCATATTTTTATCTAACTTTGATCATAGACATTGTTTTAGAGATAAAATGTCGAAGTGGATGCATTAGCTCCTTGTTTTCCCTTAGATCTTAATTTTCTAAGTCACCTTATAAATTCTTCTTCATCACGCCCATCCATATTTTCTCCTCAAGTTGTATCTTCAATGCCTAGTCTTTTCTATTATCACTAATACTGTTACCACATCTGTTGCCCTTGAATTTACCCTGACAATTTCATTTCATCGTGCTAATGAAGGTGGTAACATTAAAGGATGTATGTGTGTCCCACGTTCTTTGTTTTGTACGATTGAATAACTGAACTACGCCTGGAGCTTTTCTCAGGTTATTGTTGGTCCTTAGCCCCAAGTGAAAGAGGGTGGGTTAGGTATTAGGTTAGCAACGTCATCTTATAAAAGAGAACTTCATTGAAAAGTGTCAACCAGGAAAAATCATTTAAAGCTTTTGACTCTATCCCTAAGAGTTAAAGGATCTTCATTTAGAAAGGTTATGACAATTCCTGGTGAAAGTCGAGATTCTTCGGGATTTATGGTGTTGATGCACTTTCTGACAACCAGAGGAATAATATGGAATGTCCGGACAATGTAGAAGGTTAGCAGCACTATTCGTGGTTTTGTCAAATTACATCGTGTTGTACACTTTGTAATCAATGATTTTCGCTACATTTTCATTAAAATTGTCGATCGTAAAAGTCTTTTTATTTCAACAACACAAAACTATCCCTTTTTAGGACATAAGCATATGACCATCAATCCTAGTACCTTTGTACTTGGCATTGTATGACTGAACTGGCTCATATTACCTTTACCCTTACGAAAAATGTTATTCCTATGACAGGTATATATATAAGTATGCGTTTGTAGAGATTGTCTATTTTTATTGAGATCGTAAATTGATCCGAATTAGACAACCATAGAAAACATGGAAGCACCAAACGGCCGTTTCCTCTTATTATGTGACTTTTCATCAGTGATCATCTGCGGCACCACGATCGAAAGTCGAACCCAGACCTTCAATCTCTCATACAAACTCTTAACCACTAGACCACTGGTTAGGGATCCAGTATTGTGGAAGTCTGACTTTAATCGATTCACCATTTTGTGCAATTCTCTTTCATTGTCTTAGATGGGTACTTTTCTCACAAGTTAGACTTGTGCAACATTGGATGCCAGCTCAGCGGTCTAGATGTTATGCGTTGTTTGTAATATTTTACGTACTGCGTGTACAGTGTAAACCAGCTGTTTATAGTTTGATGTGTTTTTACATTCATTTGTGTTTCTGAATTGTAGTTTTGCGTGATTAATAATATTTGAGGCGTCAAATACGATAAATTGATCTAAACCTTGTACTTATCGACGCTCGTAAGCAAAGTGTATATTTACAAACTGTGAGAGGTTGGCACAACATGAGAGTCAGTAAATTCCCTCACGATCACCAATAAAATTTGCTTATAAGTTTCAGGGCTTTCTAGAGACTACCCCTAATCATACAAATCAAAACATTGAGCTCAAGAGTTAACACGATGAATAAATGAAACACAAATTGCTCTTTAACTGATCTAACACTTCTACCTGAATTTTGTGCTGATATGATGTCGTTCAGAAGAACGATGAAAGCTCCACGATCAAACCATCTAGCTCAGAGAACAAAACTCTATCTAACACTTTTCTCCTAACGATCGTTGATCCTTAAGCGTGACTATTGAAAATGAATAGTAAGTATCTAAATTTTGTTTGATGTTTTCTCATAAATCAGCCATTTAAAATGCTATATTCACGAATTCAGAAAATAAGTTTTCGACTACTCCAGGTAGGCTTCTTGATTAACAATCCCCTTCTCAATACATACATATATCGTATTACTTCAAATAAATACTTTCTTCATAGTGTAATTCACGAGTCGATCTTAACTAGACAATCATCGTAAGTTCTGGAAGCCTCGAACTGTTGTTTCGTCCTAATATGAAAATCCTCATCAGTGCACATCTATGATCCCACATGTGGGACTCAGACCCACGACCTTTGGTCACGTACGCACTATCGATTAGTTCTATACTAGAACGAAACACATATCCAATACTTCCAGGTTTTCAGTAGTTGTCTACTTTAGATCGACTTACGAAATCAACTATGAAAATCCTACCATCTCCTCCACAAATCTCCTTATACTATAAATATTTTTTCTCGTTTTATTTTTGCATAATATAGAACACTTGATCAGCTTATGAATGAAGCTATCAATGCAGGTATTCTTCATGTAAATCAATAAACTTATTTTTTTTTGATAACTTATTCAACTTCATACTTAATTTGTTTACCATGTAATATAATGTATTAATATTTTCTATACTATTTATTTATAAATAAGTAGTATGAATATATTGTAAATGACTATTGAATAATCTCTTCATCATTTATTTTGTTTTAAATCACTACATTAATCTTTCAAACAATAAACTAATGAACAAATGAGTTGCTATGGTGTTCATTTAATATAATGACCGTGATATTGTGTTCATAATATTTTGATATTTAGTATTCTAAATGATAATTATTATTTTACTGGTTGAAATCATGAGTCAATTGAAGCTAGACCACCATTCAAAACCTGGAAGCACTGGACGGCCGTTTCGTCCTAGTATGGGACTCCTCAGCAGTGCGCATCCACGATCCCAAACCCCGCGAGATTCGAACCCAGGACGCAAGTTCATGTATTGTTTGAAGTTAGACATTAACACCGTTGGATGGTAGCCGGCTCAGTGGTCTAGTTGGTTAAGCGCCTGGCGCGAGACTGATAGGTCCTTGGTTCGGATCTCGCGGGGTGCGGGTTCATGAATGCGCACTGCTGAGTAGTCTCGTACTAAGACGGAACGGCCGTCCAGTGCTTCCAGGTTTTCCATGGTGATCTAACTTCAATTGACTCATGATTTCAACCAGTGACATTTCTAGAAAATCTCCACAAAACCCATTGTGATGATAATTATTATGTTGTGCTATATACGAAAATTTATATGCTTTGCGAGTGAGACTATAATAATTTATGGACGACCTTTGAACGACGCTAAAAGTAACTTGAGAGTGTCCATCTAATAAATTGAACCAAATTAGAGTTATGAAACATTATAGGGGACTAGAATTATGATTTACAGTTGATAGTTAGGATTAAGAATTAAAACTTAAAGTTTTCATCACGAACTGACAACAGTTGTTATAATGCTAAAACATGATTTATCCAAATGGATGAATGAATTTCGCGCCAAACTCCAAGACCTATTATCTTATACGTGATTGGTTCGTTCATAAATTATAGTCTCACTGTCTTGTGATTTGGTTTTGGTTATACTGTCAATAATTTGTATTGTTTTACATAATATGTAACATATCTTCACCTTGTATTCATATATATATATATATATATATATATATATATATATATTTGAGAGGGTAGTTTAGAGATTGTTAAGTTTCACACCACCGGCTGTTTATAGATGGATAACCATTAATAATCAAGAAGAGTTGATTATTTGATTCACTCTATTATGTGACTTCTTAATAGTTCTTATCCACCACTTAAAAGACGCCATTTTATACATAAGAAGTCGTTTATAGCTCAAAGATTGAGAAAGTATTGTTCACATGTGATGTACATTCTCAAAGAAAATACTGTACATCTTCATAGTATGAGGAGATTGAGGTACAAGCTAAGGATGAAGTCAAATATCTTATCCTAAACAATTAATATTAATCAAGTGATGCGATGCGTGTAAAGTTCTGAAGGATATTTGTTCATGAAACAGTGCACAATCATCAAGTCAATGATTATTCCTCTAGTCAGTGTAGAAACGTACAGGTTTGTTGACCAAGATTTTCAGAGATATTAGAAGCTGTTTGTTGAAAATCACAAACATGATCCTTTAGTCAAATGTAACATATTGTTTCTCTCAATGTTCTGAAATTGATTTCCGATTGATATTTTTGACAGACAGTGATTAAAATGCCGATCTATGAGGTACAAAGTTAACCCAGCTCAAAATGCAACAGACATCTACAGATGATAGATCAATGTGACGCCATATCGAAAGAATTCATTCAAGACAATGATCGGAGTTGAGAGTGAATATCAGTCAATATGGATATATAGACTGCCACAATGTGATTTGGTCACCAAAGTAAACTAAACAACTAGAAATCTTTATCTAGCTTTGAGTAGCATCGAAGTCGATAGTAATGAGCGAATTGTAAATGAACACTTCAGGTGGTAGGGTGACGAATTGAAAACTTTCGTACGATGCATTTCGATGTCTACTACTTCGTGATGTGTATGATAGTGTTTTGTAGTGGTCGACCGAAGATTTTGATGAATGAAATTTACTTGAGAATGTATGGAAAATGTGTTATTCTTCGCATTAACTACTATTATTATTTCTTTTGCTTACCTAAAAGTCCTAATCGCCACTTTTCATGACTTATATCCTTTCCACACATCATGTGACGAAACCTCAATCACAACATCGATTTCTTATTTTTATACCTTAGCTAACCAAATGATATGCCAACTAGTACCAGTAGTCTTGAGTCAACTCTTGTTCCTCATTAGTCCTCGATATAGTAGCTTCTCGCTTCACCTTGTTTCCCTTGACTGTTCAGTCCAGAACATAATATCAACCTTCACTATATTAATTATATATTTCGAACATACGCTGTTTATATTTAAGTACACCGGACCGAATTTCACCATAAAATAAAAAAGTAGAAACTATACGAGTTTTTAGTGACGCGGAATCTGATTCCAGTTTTATCATAGGTTTGATTGAAATATACCTATCATCAATCCTCGTATATAGTTAACGACTTAAATCGCGTTAGTGAATAACGGAATTGAATAAATCAAATACGAGAATGAATTTCCGAATACATGTATTTTGTACACACACTGATCGAAACAGGCAATCAGAGAATCACAGCGAATGAAGCGAAGAAGAGTGAGCGAAGCGAAATGACAGGATGCGCAGTGGAAATGTCGTGTGAGACAACTCCATGTAAACAAGCGGTAATCAATATTTAAAGTCACAGAAATGTGATGATTAAGATAAGAAGTGTACACAAATATACGCTCACATGAAAACAATCAGGTTTGGTAAGCGAATAATCAACGGTATTGAAACGTGACTCAAGAAGAATGAATAAACTGAACTTTCCAGAAGCTAGAATAAGTTACATGGGCTTCACATAGTAACCGACACTACAAAATCAAGCCAAAAGTGGATGTGTATGGGAACTGTAGCCAACAGCTTGGAAATAAGGATTTGTTCTTATTCCATTAGGTTTCCGTCAGATGCGCTGCGGCCACCTTGGACGTGTTGTCAACTCGTACTTATTTCCTGGATTCCTTTTAATTTCCTTATCCAATTTAGTTGGTATGTTTAAGGGTATAACCACGTGTATATCATTTTCAGTCTCCCCTCTTGTCCAGTCGCCATTTCTCCAACTTCATAAATGATCTTCCTTCTCTGCGTATTACAGTTCCAGTCTTCCAAATTTTCACTAACCCATGGGAATTTCTGGTCATTACCATTTGCGTTAGCCATCAAAGATTAATTTAATGGGTGTCGTAATATATCTATATAAGTTACAAAATACGATAATATCTAATCATTCCCAGAAATCAACTCAGCATCCTAACATCTGTCAGTCTAGACATGTCTTTGATAGCGTTGATACTATCTGGATCTGGGTGACGACCATTCTTATCAAATATATGTTCAAATTGTCTAACAGGCTCGACCTGGGATTCGGACTTTTCTTTTTGGAAATGGAAACCGGTCTACGATATTTTTGTAAGCACAACGTCCAACAGATTCATTAGTTCCTGTGTGGGGCCCTTTATTTTGTCGTCATTTTATATCGAGTGGTGTTGTCGAAAGGGCTCGGGCCACCAAAGTCGAGAGCCCTTTCGACAACATCGATATAAAATGACGACAAAATAAATGGCCTCACAAAAGTGGTGAGCCCGACGTGATGAGTAATGGGATAAGAAGTGTACACACACCTACGTGCTCATATAAAAACAGTCAAGATTGATAAATAACAAGGTCAGAATGTGACTGAAGTAGAATGAATAAAATGGGCTGTCCGAAAGCTAGAATAATGTATATGGGCTTAACATAATAACTGACGCTACACGTGAGCCGTAGAACTAACAACTATATGTCATCCAGATAGACTGCTACATCTTCCAGGTTGCATGTCATAGTATTCATTATTTGCTGAGAACGGGATTCACATCTTGTCGTAAGTATGATTTTACCTTCCTGATTTCGCAGTGTTCCAACTTGTTTTGGAACTATTTTATGTTTCCTGAAAAAGGTTTTCTCTCGTTATGGATTTTTTAGTTACATGAACGATAGGCAGATCTCTAGGACTGTTTGAGCTTTTCATGGTAAATAATTCAGTCAATGGTACATCCCATAGATTTTGTATATTTATCTAATCTATACCAATAAGGTCCAAATCATGTTTGTTTGTTAAATGACAATTTCCCGTAAAGTAGCTATCTTAGAATTCAACAGAGCATTTTATTGTTCCAAAAGAGCTTTAATATATCTCTGGTTGCATTTCGAACTGTGTACACGGTTGATAATACTTATGAACAACCCTTTATATTCCATGTCATTTTAGAGAATAACATGATATCTGATGCTGTATCCAATTGTAATTGAATATGAACACTGATACCCCATAATTTCAAATACCTTCCTTTATCCGCTATACTTAGAAGGGAGGGAAAACCAAATACTTATTCACCACACAATAGCAATGAGGTTGTGAAGAGTTAGAAAATGTGAAGTGCGTATAATTAAAAAAAGGAAGAACAACAATGAATAGAAGTTAGTGTTTAAGAGTGAAATAATAATATTAATAATGGATACTAATGTATACTGCACATTACCAACCCGCATACACCCAACACACGTACAATACCACCAACATATTGAGATGATGGAGATTTGTAGCTCAGACAAGTCTATCTGAAGCTTGTGCTGATGATGTCGTTCAGAAGAACAATGAAAGCTCCACGACCAAACTATTTATCTCAGAGAACAAGACTCCATGAAAACCACCAACACCTGCACTATGACAAGTACTACATTGGTAACAAATTACCCACATACACTACTATCAACAATTCATAATCTCCTTCAGCATTAAATCAGGTAATCAGTAAACAATAGGTGCATAGTGCTCTTTGCTTAACCAATACCATTTGTTTGGACTAATCAACGACAATAGGAAAGAGAAAATAATTACTGATGATATTCGTCGGATCAGTGATACCTTTTTCTTATATCTCCCGATTGACTGTGCTAATTTAGAATTACAAATGTATCGATCCACCTGTATCTGTCAGTAGACATGTACGTACGAAATGAAGTATTTGTTCAACAGGAATGAACAAAACACTCATTGTTCGTGCTACTTACACATGCCAAACTAAAGATTTCCAACTGATCATTTTATGAACATACCTTAACTATTCAACGTATCCTTCGTCTTCTTGTCATACAACTGTTGTCGTCATCGTTCTGAAATCCATAAGACTGATTAGTTGTAAAGTTGTTAGTCAAATATACTGTTGTTTCTCATCCAATCGAAATTTACGTGCCAACCCAACCATGACCCGGAAATTACGGTCACACTGGATGCTGTTCAATAGACAGTTGTATAACCAAGGAAATATTAGTACTTACTGTTACTCATTGTCACTAGCATCTTATTGATATTGGAGGATATATTTCACTCTATCATCCATGATGGATGCATCAACACAAGCTTGTCTGTATAGATCATCGGTAAGTGTTAGCAGGATACAGGGTGGATTGAAGCGTGTTCCAGTCAGTATTGTGTTACTGCACTCTGATTGGCTACTTCTTATTCAATCAGCGCTAGTGGATACTTGAAGCATACTCTGGAATCTTTTTATTTAACACTATAAATTTGCTATGATTTTTCTTATTGTGATTCCTACTTCCATCTACCCTTGTTATTTGGAGTATAATTTCGTTTCTGTTGAACCCTGTGTAGTGTTTGAATGAACTAATGATTCCTGTGTACTTGTTGAATGCTTGATTTTGAATTCCAAATACGGTACATTCGTTCGTGCTTATCTAGTACTTCTTGATCCAATTGCGTTATTTCTGGGATTCTTAGTTTATACTATGATTCAAATACTTTTAATCATCACACCGTGTTCTGATTTGGGGACTTGTCAGGGTTTTCCAAGTCACTAAACACATCAACATCAATATGCACGGATTTCGGTACCGCAATGTTTACTCAAAAAGAAATATTTTCCCATATTCTGGACTACTGGGAAGTCTTAACCGCTCGTTCCCCTATAATACTAATAAAGTTTGTTTTGTGGGATAATTTTACCAAGTCAGTGTTCTGATTCTTAAGTGTTTCATCTAACAAACTAGTCTATCAATCTCCGATTTATTACTTCATTGATGATTATTGAGGTTGAGCATTTTGGAAAGGGACTTACTATTTTCTCGTTCATTAAATTAAGTGGGTTTCCTTAGTTCATCAGTGCTGGGAACTGATCCTAATGTGTGTTGATCCATGTCGTTTATACCTCATTTCAGTACAGTGAAACGAAGTTATGATAAATTAGTTTAAACTACATCGCATTACTAGACATGTGCAACAAACGATATCGAAGAATGAAAAGTTCAGTAGTGATATTTAACTGGATATTTAAACAATGCTTGTTAATCAATACTTTTGTTCCACTTCGACCAATTTAAGGTCACATTATTTAACATTCGCAATCATTGGTCACTTGTATTAGGCGATTCCTATTTAAGAAGTTGCCATGTTTCCACATGCTTCCGACCAACAATCAAAAATATCATAAATTGGATTTCACATGAGAGTTGAACATTAGTTTTTGATATTTAGCGTTGTTTTCTACCGGATGAGGTTGCCAACCCTATGCCCAACGGCTCCTCCTTTTTCCGGTCTTGGGATCGATAGTAAATCTAGAATAGCTACAGGTTGAGTCAAAATGTTCAATACTGTACGGAGCGGAAAATTGGCGAACTACCACAACCATCATCTAAAAAGTACAGATATTTATAAACAATTGTCCACACAAGATACTCGATACCCGTCGTCCGGATAGCATCAACAAATACCTACTGTGGCAGAAGACAAACCGGCTTCCAGATGAAGAGGAAATTAAGAGACAACGGTGGAAGTCGATAGTAGATACATTACGGAAATCACTAAATTACATCACGAGGCAAGCGCTAACCTGGAATCCTGAAGGGAAACAGAAAAGAGGAAGGCCGAGGAACACACTACGTTAGGAATCGGAAACAGACATGGAAAGAATGAATGATAACTGGAAAGGATTGCCCAAGACAGAGTTGGATGAAAAATGTTGATGGTCGACCTATGCTCCTCGAAGTGGGGTAACAGGCGTAAATAAATAAAGTATTTCTATTTATTCTTGATATCCTATTCGTTTTGATAAACAATTATACATTAAATTAATTAAGCGTATCTTTTCTCTTCATTTGTGTTTTTTTGTTTATTCAACATTGAATCAATATTTTGATATGACATAATAAAAAACAGTTGTAATAACCACTGACCACATTGTGATCCATTTTTTTGGACGACTTCTTGATTCTAGGAAAGAAGAAAATTCAATGAATGAAAAGATGAATTTTTCAAAGATTATTTTCAATGATTTCAGGAAAATATTAACTAAAACTACATATACTACAAATGGATTTATTTGAAGGACAATGGGCTGATGATCAAAAGAACTGAGGTTTCATTCAGTTGATAGTGTTGGCATTGATGATATTGTACTTGTGGTTATTTTTTATTGCCTGAGTTTGGTGTAGGATGTTAGTTAGTGATGTGTAGTATGTGGTTATATGTATGCGGAGTCCCGGCCGACTTCGTGGTGGTGCCGTGGTTAGCCTGTTCGTCCACCAGATGTGTGATTGTCGATAGCTCTCTGGTGGACTAGGCCTGCCCACGTCCACTGGATGGAGAGTGTCTGTTAAACTTATCCAGACGACTACGACGACAGTGGCTTAGCATCAACTGGGTAAACAGTGGTTTCCTCCTCATTGCTCTCTCACGTTCAAGCACAACACACTCTCATTGACTTCAACCTTATTACACTCATTCCAATGATTATCCCAATACAATACTTATAACTGAATTATTTCCACCTTCGTTGACTTAGTCAGTCCACGCCGTTTCCACTTCGATTATACACCCTGCCCCACAGTATCAAACACTCGTTCGTTCGTTTCACATAATCATCACATCCTACTTATCTCTTCACCCTATGATGTCTACCTTCTCACCCATAACATGCAGAAGGTAATGAATTGGTCGGTCTGCTGGAAGCTGTGCTATACCTGTTTTATTATGTCCAACAACTCTATGATACATACTGTGAATTGTTAGCACCAGTGATATGTTGATTTCGCATGAATATTTAAAAAAAGGTATGAATAGCCCCCGAAAGTGATTTAGATTGGAACTGAAATGCCGATAGTTGTACTGTCTTGTCTACTAAAATCTGGAACATGAAACTTGCTTGTTATTTAGGACTAAAATTGCTCAGTCTCTTGTTAGTATATGTGCGTCCTGTGTGAACTGATTCGATATTGCTTTAAGTCACAAGCTTTATAAGCAAAGTTGGATAATGGCTAACAATCGAATCCAGGAGGCACGTTTCGTCCTATTCGGAACTCGTCAGATGGATGTACCTGCATTTCAGAATTAATGTTCACCGTGAGACTCGAACCCACTACCGTCCGCTTCAAAGGCCAGCGTGTTATCCACTTAGTTACTGGATCCTGATAGCCACCTGTTTGTGCAATGGGGTGAAGTTATATCCACTTGTTGTTGTTTACTTGTATCTTCCCATTGTTATCTAGGACTACGGTTAATCAGTATTTTGTTGGCATATGTGAATCATGACTAATGTTTTTTTCTAGGGAAAACACTGAACTTTTGTGATCTTAATCGGTTTAATTTACTTTTTATATCAATCAATTAACTGTACAATAATGATACACCATTTGACGAGACCGATTGTCATTTGATTTAAACAAAAAAAATTATTAAACGAGATTGACAATTTCATTCAGCTGGTTATGGGACACTTACCAGAATCATTCCAGTCTAAATTAATAGCATACAATTTGGCATGATTGAGAATACGTCATGGACAAAATTTAGTTAAACAACGGCTGAAATCCAAGAAGTAATCGACAACTTTTTTACCTTAATATGGGGCGCCTCAGCGATGTACATCTCTACGTGCCCATCGGAGATCGAAGCCAGGACTTTTGATCTTTCAACAAGCGCTTTGCCTCTAAACCATTGAGCTGGTATATAATGCCTAAAGTGACCAACTTAGATAAAGTCGTGATATAATGTAACCACCTGCCATCATCATTGGCGGATGACACTTTCACACTCGACAGGATTAAACACTCAATAGAACTCCAAGAATCACTTCATGTCGTTAATTTCTCATTAACTTGTTAGATTAAGTAATTGTTAAATGCTTTAATAAAAAATTCCTAACTTTGGCATTGGAAATGTTTGTTAAGTTGATAAATCTATTAGTAATTTGTTATTGCCCCCAAGTCCCCTGGTACGGCCGAGAGTTGTGAGAGTCCACCGTGCCCCTCGAAATGCTTTCACACAGCCACGCGTATACAGCCACTGTCATGAAAGTCCAACTTAAATGGCGTATGAACCAACTATAAGTCACCGGCTATCGTGAAACTGCATCTCCGAACGTTGTTCCACTGATTTGTGGATCAGCCCTTTAGGCTTGGCCCCCTAAGAAAACCACCCGGGCAGTATCACAGCTCACACACAAATTACAGACTATCTCAGTAAAATGTTAATACCATAAAGTCAATCGTCAATTTGCAAAATATCATTCCATCATATCAAACTGTACTGTTCCCGTTGCAAACACTAATCCATTGTCTCCCATTCCATTGTACATGCGTTTTCTTACAATTCCACTGTGCTCTTGCTCTTCCTTTCTTGATCTTCGCCATCTTCTGCTGCCGGACATTACGTTCTTTTAACGCACGTTGTATACTACTTATATCAATATAAGTAGCTCACACCACAGTTTGACCTTGGTTTGTTATCTTACTTTGATAAATACATTTTTATGAATAAAGTTTTTGGCTATCATTTAGTAGAGTGATTTTGAGTGCTGTTATAGGTATGAGGGCGGTTATCACTTCCCGGTCGCCTACACCGTAGAAGTGTTTTTCTGGAGCTACCTGAAAATGAAATTGGATTAGAGGTGGTCTTAGTGACCTCAGAGCATGATCGCAGTGCCCAAGGGACAACTGCTTGAGTTCGGTCACGCAAAACCTTTTTGGGAGTAATTTCTGTATTAGAGCCGTACTTGTTGAGACCTTACCACCGGAGACGGATATCCGTGGGATAACTTGGGATGTGCATTTTTAGGGTAGACCATTTCTAACCCATACCTCCTTGTGGGAAAGTAGCATCACTGTCATGCTGGTTGTCTAAAGGAAACACTGTACTGCCGTCACACGTCTATACAGTCAGCAGTACGACTTCGCCTTCGGACCTTGGGTTTGTTGCTTTTAATTTTACCGTTCTTCAACCGACCTGTCTGGCATGGTAGGACCTTAAGGAACGATTGTTCCCACCAGTATAGCTCGGCTGATCCATCACAATAGGCAAGCTCGACCACGACGTCAAGGTAGCAACAACGGTCAGTATGGAAACTTGGACCGATGCATATATATGTGCCCGGTCCTACGTTGTAGCTGACTATCATTTAGAAACATACTACAAAATGGTGTCATTGTATTATCAATCAATCTCTAGTTATTTATTGTTTACACGATCCGATTGCAAACCTTTAGAGAGTGCTTTGGTGTATATTTGGAAAGAGCACACCTTATATGGTCAATATCTGTCTACAAAAGTAGCCAAAAATACTATTACACATCTCTAATAGGTAATATTATTGATAAGGAAAGTTTCTTCGTTGAAACGTCTCCATCTTGTTCAAGTGTAATTTTATTGTGGCGCTGTTCAGACTGTAAATGTTAATATCGAAAAAGATGCGACAAATTGTTTGTAATTAGTCGATAGCAAAAATGAACAACTTACAAATCAAGATAAGTGGTGGCTCTAAAAATAATGAAATAAAATCACATTGTATTTCGACTACTCAAATGCACTCATTATCATGAAAGTAATTTTATCTATGTCACTCGGAATCTTCAAAACTAAAAGAGAAAAGGAAGATCAAAGGACACATTACACTAAGAGATGAAGACAGACATGAGAAGAATGAACGACAGTTGGATAGAACTAGAAAGGAAGAGTCAGGACAGAGTGGTTTGGAGAATGCTGTTTGGTGGCCTACTCCCCATTGGGAGTAAGAGGCGTACGTAAGTAACATAAGAAGTGAAAATGTCTCTCACAATCGTTTACCGGTCGTTTCAATTGTTTTTAACGCTTGTGGTATCATCCGGTTATCAGATGTATGAAAGAAATTGACAGAAAGACCTGTTCTATTCATGTCTCGGATCATTTGGCACATATCATTATGGTGTGTCTAAACTATTGAGTCAATAGATGCTCTTATAACAGAATTATTGGTTTTAACGTTATTGACAAAAGTTTCATTATTGACTGGTAAATTAAACTACGTGGTAAGGTGAAACTAACGCAGATTAGTTAATCGTTAGATAATCTTCGGTGATCGAATTCTGAATTTAATGAAGAAGCCAAAATGGAACTTACAACTAAACTAACCTGCCCATTCCTTTTTATTTTTTTCTTAGACAATTATGGATCATCGTCCACAAGTACTATATTAAGACATTTGTACCTTATGACCTCAATGGAAACTTTGTCTATCGAATGCCACTAGAGAAATCTTAAGATTAGCCATTATTTAAAGATCGGTTAAATAGGTTGATTTTAAGTGTTAGTTTCAATCTAAGAACGATTAAGATGGTTGGAGATAGTTGATAAGGAACCCTAGGCGTAGGTTTCGTATTTTCTTGTCACTCAGTGGTAAGGTATATCTAGGTACAGTGTTTCCTGTCGGATTCCTCAATGCACCTTATGCCTCACAATGGTAAACTCAATGTCGAGTCACCTAAACTAGTGATTAAATTACAACATAATCGATACAATTCGATCAACACCAAGAAAATCTTGACATACATAACACTTATCCATGACCAACCGATTAGAATAGTAACGTGTCCGTACGCAACGCTGTGTAGTGAGGTCGTTGGATCGGTGTCGTTTTAGTGGCTTTTCCGCTCGATTGATGCTAAGAAGATGACCTAATTTGATTATTTAGAAAAAGTAAAAGTCGTAACAATGTTTCCGTAGGTTTAACTTGCGGACGGATCATTATCATGACCCAAAAATATTTAATGAAGCATGCACTTGGCTTCGCAGTGGACTGCATCTACACTGACATAGTGGTATTTACCTTAGGATTCAGCGATTGAATAAAGCATGTACCTAGCTTCGTGCTGGAATGCATGTACGCTGGCTTAGTGGTATTTACCTTAGACTTCATCTAGCATCTGTTTAACTGAAGATCGAAGAGTGAAATTAGCCTTCATTTCTCACTGAATAATTGTTGGTTATTTGTCTGAAATGTTAATTCTTATTTATGGAGTCCATTTAGGGTATTACTTACTAGTTGTCGTCAGTTTTACTTGTACTGAAGTAGCTAAAATGATTAATATGAAAGATACATAAATATTTGATCGAATAACATAAATATTAATTATAGAAATAAATCTCTTATTGATGATTTCATAATTCAATAAAACTGTAACACAGATTCGTAATCATATTGATTAAGTATTATAGATGAATGGAGTTAGCCCCCAAATGCCTTAATGCGGTCGAGAGTGGGGAGAGTTCGCTCTCCCTATCAAAATGCTCTCACATGGATACGCGTATATAGCCTCTGCCAAAAAAATCCTACTCATTGCCTTCTCGCACCACGGGTGTTGTTCACGAAATTGAGAGGACGAAAAGCGGATGTCCAGCACTTTAACCGGGTTAGTGGACACAGAGAGTCCACCTACAGGAGTTGGAAAACCCTCATTTTAAACGAATGGTGCACATAGGGTCCAGTATTCTTAAGGAACAAATGGCGTATGAACCAATCGTTGTTCACCGGCTTCCATGGGACCGCATCTCCTTACGATGCTCCACTGCCTTGTGGATCAGACCTTCAGGTCGAAGGCTCCGGGTGTGGCCCCCTAAGAAAACCAACTTCTTCGGTTTGGGCACCCGGGTAGTATCACAGCCCTCACACACATATCAAACGAGATTTGTGTGGCGTATATGTATTTAGTGCCTCCTTGTACCAATATCTGTGTTAAAATAAATACATAAATAGTTGATTAAGCTTATTGATAAACTTTTTCAATGTGTTATAACTTGTGGCTTTTTTCCCTTATCAATATATGACGTAATGATACTGCCAATTAAAGAACAGTGAATTATCGACCAAACCAGTGATGGCCAAAACCCATATGAACAGTCTAGAGTCCTTATTGGTCCTTCTTCCTGTTTAGCCTTGTCTATTGAGCACAGAAAACTCATCTCAACTACCATTATATGAATCATCTATTTTAAACACACTGAGTTCTTATAACAAACCAAACAGACCACATCATACCATAAAATAGGAAATGAGCTCTAGCCAGAAATGGCTCTGAATGTGAGCGACTGTAATTAATGGACTGAGCATAACTCAAGAATGGTAAATCATTTAATAATAGTTTATTGATCAAAGTGAAGCTTGTAATAAGAGACGTATAGATGTACATTACCTAGCTACTGCATAATTATACATAAGGAATATGCATATAATATTTGTCCATGAATAGTTCTCATAAGTTGCCGTTCATAATTCTCTCCAGGATATAGTACAATGTTCTATAAGTATGTTGTATTAGGCATTTCTAGCCGGCTCGGTGGTCCAGTGGGTTAATTGTTCGCGCGCGAGACTGAAGACCCTGGGTTCGAATCCCGCAAGCGGGATCGCTGGTGCGCACTATCGATGAGTCCCATAAGAGGACGAAACGGCCGTATAGTGCTTCCAGGTTTTCAATGGTGATCTAACATCAATCGGTTCGTGATTTCAATCAATAACTTAACAATCTCCACAACCCCTAAACTGATAATTCTCCTACTAATGTAGTATGTTAATGTTTCATCCAACATGTTTGGTTTCAATAAACTAATTGACTCATAGAAGAAAGTTGCCAACAATTCAAAAGGTTTGTAATGTAATGTTTAGTGAAAATTATACTACAATATGTAGACTATATTCATTAGTTGAATAGAAAAATAACCTAAAGTTCTAGATACAACATGACTTATTGTACATTGAAATTGTTACTTGAAATTTGATAATAACGGGCTAATCCAAAATATTTGGAATATCACTTCGAAATGAGATTAATCTGTTGTATCCCGGCAAGAATTATGAATTACAACTTTTGAGAACTTATTTATGAACTAATACTATACATATATTCTTATCGTATAGTTGTTAAGTAATTAAACTATGTATATTCATATTGTTCTTATTATAAGCTTCATTTTGATTCATAGACTATTACTTATTACTACTACTACTTACTTGAACACATAAATACTGGCACAAGGGGGCACCAGTTAAATGTGCGCCACACAAATCTCATTTGATTTGTGTGAGGGCTGTGATACTACCCGGGTGCCCAAACCGAAGAAGTTGGTTTTCTTAGGGGGCCACACTCGGAGCCTTCGACCTGAAGGTCTGATCCACAAGGCAGTGGAGCATCGTAAGGAGATGCGGTCCCATGGAAGCCGGTGAACAACGATTGGTTCATACGCCATTTGTTCCTTAAGAATACTGGACCCTATGTGCACCATTCGTTTAAAATGAGGGTTTTCCAACTTCTGTAGGTGGACTCTCTGTGTCCACTAACCCGGTTAAAGTGCTGGACATCCGCTTTTCGTCCTCTCAATTTCGTGAACAACACCCGTGGTGCGAGAAAGCAGTGAGTAGGACTTCAATTATTATACGATTTAATGTTCTTCAGTTATGCTCAGTCTATTAATTACAGTCTCCTACACTGACATCCACTTTTGGCTAGATCTTGTTGTCTTCTTTTCTGTGGTGCGATGTGGTCTGTTTAACTGGTATATAGACCCAGTATATTTGAAATACATGATTTATGTAGTGGTAGCTGAGATGAGTTTTCTGGGCTCAATAGGCAGGGCTAGGCAAGAAAAAGGACTGATAAAGATTCTAGACTGCTTGTACGGGTTTATGCATGATTGAACCGGTCGATAATTCAGTTGTTTTTTTTTTGATGAAATTTTGTTTTCTGAGCCAGATGATTTGGTTGTAGAGCCTACATTGTTCTTGTGAACGACATCAAATCAGCACAAACTTCAGATAGACTTCTATCTGATAATTCACTGTTCTCTAATTGGCGGTATCATTATGTTGTATATTATTAGGGGTACAATGCCAAAAGTTATAACACAATCATTAATTTAAACAAAACGTTTTCTATAAAAGCATATTAGTTGTGATTATCTGATATAATTTCCACATATAAAACTTATTGAAAAATGGGAATAAGCAAGCTGAAAAAGTGGAGAAGATTTGTAGCTCAGGTAGATGATTTTGATGGAGTTTTGTTCTCTGAGCTGGATGGTTTGGTCGTGGAGCTTTCATCGTTTTTCTGAACGACATCATCAGCACAAACTTCAGATAGAAGTGAAGTGTTCGAATTTCTCCAACGACAAATTTAAGGTCAATAAGATCCAATCAACGTCGAGGTGTACAGAACAAGCTGTGAAACGTATATGGAGAAATTCGAACACTTCACTTCTATCTGAAGTTTGTGCTGATGATGTCGTTCAGAAGAACGATGAAAGCTCCACGACCAAACCAGTCAACTCAGAGACCAAAACTGCATCAAGCTGAGAAAGTGTTTCTGACTTGAAATAAGAAACAATGAATATACACTGACGAAATGTATTGATGTTCACTTTAATTATTGTTATTGGATATGTCTTTGTAGAGTTAATGAAGGTACTCTTTCCAAGACAAGTTTATATTTTAATAGTTAAATTGATGAGTCAATTAAAATGAGATCACTACGGAAAAACCAGATGCACTGGACGGCATTTAAGCATTCATCCGAGAGATCGATAAATCCTTGGTTCGAATCTTACGAGCGGGATCGTGGATGTGCACTGTTGAGGTGTCCCATACTAGGAAGTAATGGTCACTAAGTGCTTCCACGTTTTCCACGGTTGTTCAGCTTTAATCGACTCATAAATTCAACTCAACTAGGAACATATAAATCTTATAAAGACCTATTATCTTTATTAATAGTTCAGATGAGATTAACCAATCTTCTCACGTAGTAGTAGATATTGAAAGTAAAATAAGAAGAAAATGGTAAGGTTGTAGAAGAACGGGTAAAGAAATTCGAGTTGTTATTTTATTCTTTAGATAATTCTTAATCACGTTAAACTTCCAAAAACCAAATAAGTTCGAAGGTTGACTAAAAGTTTACCTTCTACTCTATTGATATTTCTTGATAAGAAAATGACATTTTACTTCTACAATCAAACAGATTCTTGACAATTTTCCACTAAAATATGTCGAACATGTCAACATCTGGGTGGAAGCATGGGCTACAGTGGATATATAATATGCAGCTGGACGATCTAGACTTCACAGATGGTCTGGCTCTTCTTTCGCACACACAACAACAAATGCAAGAGAAGACGACCAGTGTAGCAGCAGCCTCAGCAGCAGTAGGTCTCAACATACACAAACGAAAAAGCAAGATTATACGATATAACATAGTATGCAAAAATCGAATCACACTTGATGGAGAAGATTTGGAAGATGTGAAAACCTTCACATATCTGGGCAGCATCATTGACGAACACGTTGGATCTGATGCAGATGTGAAGGCACTGGTCGGGAAAACAAGAACAGAATATTTACAACTGAAGAACATATGGAACTCAGAACAACTGTCTATCAGCCAACACCAATGTTAGAATTTTCAATACAAATGTCAAGATAGTCCTACTGTATCGGGTGGAAACCTGGAGAACTAGAAAGCCATCATCCAGAAGATACAAGTGCAAAATACTTCGAATCCGTTGACCAGACACTATCAGCAACAACAACCTCCTGTGGGAGAGAACAAACCAGATTGCAGCGGAGGAGGAAAGTTGGGAGAAGCGCTGGAACTGGATAGGACACATTGTGGAAAGCACCCAACTGTGTCACAAGGCAATCCCTCACTTGGAATCCTCAATGCCAAAGGAGGAGAGATAGGACGAATAACACGTTACTCTGAGAAATGGAGATAGATGTGAGAGAAATGACCAACAATCGGGTAGAACTAGAAAGGAGAGCCGAAGACAGAGTGGGTTGAAGAATGCTGGTCGGCGGTCTATACTCCATTGGGAGTAACAGGCGTAAGTAAGTAAGTTCGTTACAACACGTTAAAGGATTCAGGAACAAAAAATGTTTGAACTATATTTTTGATCAGATTTCAACGAGACCTGATATATTTTTCTGTTAAGAAAGGAACAGAGTTGGAGTTTGATTTGATATAATACGTTATATGACATCATTATAAAGTGTTGTGTATCCCTAAATTTAATTTAAAATGATCCCACTGTTGAATGTATGGAAATTACTGTCTATTCATATTTAGATTCCTGGGGTGTGGTAGATTCCTCTAGGGTATAAAGAAAAGAATGGTTGACTTTTCCTAAGCTAACCTTGAAGTAAGGCATGTAGTTGTTATACAGTTTTTATAATATTTTCGGACACAAATTGTTCAGTAAACAAACTACCACATAAATGGAGAAGTATATTTTTATGGTAATAATTAACAGAAGAATTTGTATCTAGACTGTCATGTTCTTGGGCGAATATATTGTGTGAGAACTTCAACACAACTCAGTTCAAGAACGCATGACTAGCCTGACTAGAACTTAAGTATATTTTCACTCCAAAAAAACCCTGACAACAATCACACTAATAATAAGGTTAGGGAAAGACATAACTCATCTAATACCTGTCAGAATATCTACAAGCTGGACTAAGCAAACAACTAACCATTAACTTCCTCGTCTTCACATTACTGATGAAATTTGGTATGGGATGATATTCAAACTGTGTGTTTCTCTCTAGTTCAGACTCATCATCTGGAGATACGTGTTTCCCAGAGTTGATGTCCACTCTGTAACTCGAACCTAGTAATTTTCCTCGAAAATACTATTGATTGAGATCATGAACCGATTGATGTTAGATCACCGTTAAAAACCTGGAAGCACTGGACAGCCGTTTCGTCATACTGTGAGACTCTACAGCAGTACGCACCCACTATCCCGCTCGCGGGATCCGAGTCCAAATCCTCTAGTCCTGCGCGCGAACGCTTAACCTACTGTACCAATTAACCATCTTCCATTTTGCTGAGGTAGATACCTGCCTCTAGCCAATATGAACACTAACACCATTGTATGCCATCTCAGTGGTCCAGTAGGTTAAGCGTTCGCGTGCGAGACTGAAGGTACTGGGTTTGAATCTCGCGGGTGGGGTCGTGGATGTGCACTGCTGAGGAGTCTCACAATAGGACGAAACGACCGTCCAGTGCTTCCAGGTTTTTAACGGTGATCTAACATTAATCGGTTCATGATTTCAATCAATAACTTAACAATCTCCACAACCCCTATACTGAAAATATTATGTTTTCTATTTAGTTAGTGAGTTCAGATAGTCACTTGCATGTGGAGTGAAGTTGTCAACAACTGTATAATCCAAACTATTAATCACAAAGGATGGTAAAATAAACTTACTTAGATCAGTAGTCGCCATAGTAACTGAGAAAAAATGACGTCCTTTTAGATTTATTTTCAATTTCTATACAATGATATTCAGAAATATTTCAGTGAAAAATCAACTGGTGAAGTTTAATCGAAGGTTATTCACTGGCTGTTTGTGTACTGTGAGCTAGTAAAATACAATCGATACAGTATATTGATAGAACTTAATCACGGTATATATTTCGATTAGCACACTCAAATTAACGTGGGATAGATGAAATATAGCTAGGAATGTAATTCAGAACGCACATTTCACCTTGTTTGTGTATCTTCAACTGAAACTATCTGAATGAAAGTGTTGATAGTCACATTGTCATTCGAATCAAATACCTTACTGAGTTTTCCCACTTAGCCAGTGATTCCAGATAGTTGCTCATTTATGCAAACGGCTTGATTTATCCTATTGTTGATTTTTTTAAAAAAAAACGAGTTTCTAACCAAGATACAGGTACATCTAACTGACGAGTACAAAACAAGACAAAATACACGTCTTGAATTCAAAGGTTAGCTACATTTTATCTATTCCATAGAAATTTGTAAAATAATAGCTATATTAAGGCAATCTGTATAGAATGTATATATATAGCTATATAATATACTTTTGTGAGCCAGAGTAATTTTACATAGGTTTTCAGGAGAACCAGACACCATCCAGACTTCCACGTGACAACCCAAACAGTACAGTTCAATCCTGTTTAACTGGAATGAGAGACACTATCCATGCTTAAAATTTGTAGCCTAAATAGTACGACTCAATCCTGTTTCTAGGAGAACCAGACACTATCCAGGCTTAAACATTATAAACCGTGCAGTACAGCTCAATCCCGCCTCACAGAAGAATCAGACATTATATAGGCTTAAACACTACAGTTTGAATAGTACAGCTGAATCCTGTGGCGCAACCACACAGGTGCCAAGCACCTTGGTCGATCAATAGGATATATATGTATATATATCGGAATAAAATCGATCGGAATTCAGTCTTTAATAATGAAAATTTACTAATATTAAAATGAACCAGAATATGGAGGAGGTCTGCCAGTTGTATTGTATGGAAACCATATACTGAATACTTCATTTGTGAATTTCTATTGTTTTTCTTTCACATTCTCTATAATTCTTCCCATTCACAGGTCCTTTCTGTTTTTTTTTCATACCCTTCTGTTTTCGAGTTTTCCACTTCCCATTAGTGTTACATACTACGTATATTTGTCAATAGACATAAGTAGCATATACCACAATATTATATATATGAAGAGATATTATAGGGATCAATAAGATTAAAGGCAAAACATTACGCAACTAATCTTGATATTTTGTGGAATCAGTCTACATCACTAGATCCTTATTGTAAAGATATGTATGAGAGGAACATTCATATAATCTAACTAATTGATCATTCATCTTGACCATATTCTAATAACGTCATTAGAACATAGTGATGGGTAATAGTTGAAATTGCTATATAAGCAAAGATCGACAGTGGCTAGCAGTGGAATCCAGGACATGCGTTTCGACCTATTTGAGACTCTATGACTGGATGTACCTACATCTCAGAGTTGATGTCCACTATGGGACTCGAATACTAGTACCTTTGGCTTCAAACGCTATTGTGTTATCCACTTAGCTGCTGAGTCCTGATAGCCCCCTCCCTGCTTGTTTAATCGGATAACGCGATCGAGTAAAGAGCGAACGGTACTTAGTTCGAGTCATATTTTGGACATCAACTCCGAGATGTAAGATCATCCAGTCGAAGAGCCTCAAATAGGACGAAGCGCACTTCCTGGATTCCACTGCTAGTCATTACCCATCTTCGTTTATAAAGCCTGTGACCTAAAGCAATAAAAGAAAGACTGATCAATCGCAGTCCTATATAACAATAGGAAGATACAAGTAAAACAACATCAAATGAATTTTAAAGAAATTGCTACTCTTCATTTATTTTTAATTTACTTTTCGGTGTAGCTAAAAAGAAAGATAGATATTACAGAAAATAGTAGAAATATCTGAAATCATATTCATTCCATGCTCATCCATAATTATATGTATACTCTACAAGAGGATAATTTTATATTGATTTTTAGGAGAATTGGGTAATATCTAAGCTTTTGCATGACCTAGTTAGTATAGTACAATTAGGTGGTACAACTAAAACAGGTACCAATAACCCTAATAGGGTCATTCCATGTTCCTATGAATGAATAATAACACATTTAAAGAAATTACATTTAGCACAATTTATCGATTTATGTTTACAATTTTGGTGATCATTTACTGAATTATATCGATCGAATTGGGATGTAACCGATAACTTCAATATCAGTCACTTCACGATATATCTCAATTTGTATATAAACAGATGAGTGGGAGCTCGTTAGTCTTAAGTTTAAGTATTCACTGTAGGACTTGAAGGTTATGAGTTTGATCCTAGATGGTTTTATGAATGGACATCACTGATTAGTCTTACGCTAATACAAAACATCGTTCCAACGCTCTTTAGTTTTCAATAATTATCCAACTAAGATCAGTCTGTGATGCTAAACCAAGCACGTTAAACCCACATAGCTCAGTCTAGCTTCTAGACAGGCCAATTTATTCATTCTTCTAAAGTCACATTTCGACCTTGTCAGTTATTCGCTTATCGAACTTGACTGTTTTTGTATGATCGTGTGTACATGCTTACCCTATTCATCACATGTTTGTAACTTATATTTGTGTGACTATAATTATTGATTCACACTTGATGAAATCGAGTTGGCTTACATGCGTTCTCCCCCGCACATCATTTCACTTCTCTCTCTTCTCTTCCTTTGCTCCGCCTCTTTGATTGTCTGTTCTAATCAATGATTGTATGAAATAGATGTCTTCAAAAATCCATTCTCGTATTTGAATTATTTAATTCCGTTATACACTAATACGAGTTAAGTCAATAATCCTGCTTCGGTTTGGATACCCAGCAGTATCTCAGCGCTCACACCTATCAAATGAGATTTGTGTGGCGCATATGTATTTGGTACCTCTTTGTACTAATAAGTCGATTATAATATACGAGAATAGTTAGGATGTATATTTCGACAGTAATCATTCTGTAACGATTATAAAAATGATTTACTCAACATTTAAATGAAAACTTATTTCAGTGAACAAACTCACTTGTATTAGTTTTATTGGGATCTATAGATTGATAAGAAAAAATTATCAGTATAGAGTTGTGAAGATTGTCAAGTTTTTTTATTAAAATCATGAAACCTGGAAGCAATGGAAAGTTGTTTCGTTCTAGTATGGGATTTCCCAATGATTTGGAGGTTGAGGGTTTGTGAACGACATCGAAGGACCTAGGTTCGAATCCCGCTTGAAAAATAGTGGATATGCACTGCTGAGAAGTCCCATGTTAGGATGAATCGGCTGTTCAGTGTTTCCATGCTTTCAATGGTGGTCTAACATCAATCGACTTATGAACTTAATCAAAAAATTTATATCATTTTAATCTGATTAAAAAAATTTCCAGTGGTAGTTCAACTTGAAACTGAAACAACCCACAGGTTTTGTGATTTGTGGACGAAATTAATGATGCATCATCTCATTATCAGGACCTCAGCTTTTATAATGCGAATTATAACTCTTCTACGAGAAGAACCTTCAGCTTCCAGAACTAGAGTCTAAATGGTTTAAATTATTTTCTTTGGTAAAAACTACCACCAACTTTTCTCATTTACTTGGGCTTCCGACCAGTGGTGTCCCTAGAGGAATACAGGCTGAGTTTTTTATATTATTAACGTTTAATTTAATAGTTGAATTCAGGAGTCAATTGAAGCTAGAATACCATGGAAAATTTGGAAGCACTGGATGGCCGTTTCGCCCTAGTATGGGACTCCTCAGCAGTGCTCAACCACGATCCCGCCTCGCGAAACTCAGACACAGAACCTCCGATCCTGCGAGCGAACGCTGGCATCTAATGGCGTTAATGTTTAACTTCAACCAATCCACGACAACATGAGACCGTCTACCATTGTCTTCAGTGAGTAACTGCATCACAACAGACACAGTTGAACAGCACTGGTCACGGCCTTTTACTAGAACTCTAGGAACTCAATCTTGAAGCTAGTCACTAGCGAGCACATGATAATCATCAGTATAGGGTTGTGAAGATTGTTAAGTTTAGATTCATATTATGAATGAATCAATGTTAGACCAGCATTGTAAACCTGGAAGCACCGTACGGTGGTCTAACATTCATCCATCATTCATAATATCAATCAACTTAGTTACCTTAATAGCTGAATTTATTCATTAATGAAAGTATAACCGGTTAAAGTACCAACCATGTGAGTATTTCATGATAACTATAACATCTCTAAAAGGAGTTGAAATACGTATAATAATAACGTCAATAAATAATATTGAATATGATGGTTTATAGGGATTAGGAACTTTTCATTAAAGTTCATATATCATTCTAATCAAAGCTGTTTTTCACTTTATTGATATGGCTTCCAATCCCTTTTCAGACACTAGTCTTGCCTCCAAATACCCTGGTATGGTTGTGGGTGGGAGTCGGCTGTGGGAGAGTCAGCTCTCTCTCTTGAAATGCTCTCATATGTCTATGTACATACAACCACTGCTTTCCTAAAGATCATGTAACCATCATACAGTATGAAGATGACTTAGTCATAACAAGCGATAACACTCATAAAATTATGTTTTGCTATTAATATTTTAAATGATAATATATAAAGGTTTAGGCCATATTCATCACTTCACATTATTACTGGCGTTTGTCAATGTGTAATGCAATAACAATTAAAAATAGAATTTGAGCTCATTAAATAATAAGAAACATTTTAAGTCATGGGTCAGTAAGGTAGAAGATTTTCGATCAGTGGTTCTGTATCAGATCAAACTAAACGAGTGATCCATTCTCTAGTCAAACTAATCAGCTTAACATTGTACATAGACAGTGTATTTCCTAAATATTAATTTCTTGTAAAAGGCGAAAGATTTATTCTCCCCCATCCGAGATGCTCTAGTACGGCCGGGAGTAAGTAAAGTCCGTGCTCCCTCACATGGCTATGTGCATACAGCCAGTGACAGGGAAGTCTTACCCACTGCCTTCTCGTGTCATTACTATTGTTTACGAAATTGAAACAACGAAAAGCGATGTTCCGGCGCTCTATCTAAAGCAGTTGGAAAATCCTGATTTCAAATTAATTGTTCACATGGCCTCCGAAATCCTGAAGGAACAGATGATGTATGAACCTGTTGTTGGTCACCGGCTACCATATGACTTCATCTCCTTACATTGCTTCACTACCTTGTGGATCAGATCTTTAGATCAGACTCCAGCTGTAGTCCCTCTGCGAAAACCGCTTACTTCAATTTGATCTCCTGGGCAATATCCAAACACTCTTAACTAAATCACTATTATACATAATGTGAATTCATCATAAAACATCATCTAAGATTAATCACCATTCAACTTACGGGTTTCACCATTCAATTGATTCAATAGAATGAAAATGACAATTAATATTAAATTAATATTCATTGAAATTTTTCTCTTTTTTTTGGCGAGACTATCATTTATGGACGACCTTTGAATGAATCTCATATGACCTTGAGAAATATTAACCAATCAGAAGACAGTTAAAATATCTTATACAAAACCAAAGAATTCAATTGAATACACTTCTTTGATATGGTTCAAAAACGTGTCAAAGTTAGAAAGAAGTTCAAAGATTCTAAAATTGTAATGCATATAGAAGAGGAACTCATCCATACGTCTACAGAATAGTCGGCCTCTGGAGACAGGATAAAGTGGCAGAAACTCTTTCAGCCTCGACCACAGGTTCAGTATTGTTTGTGTGTACTCCGATTGTGGAGTTCAAGAAATGTCACTTGTGGATAATGACACGATGCACATAAACAAGTCTATTTAGGCATCGGTATGCTCTCCAATTATCAGTATATATTGTAGTACCTGGCTGCAGTCAATGTTACTGTTGCTTTGATTATACTGTTGGCAACAACTGTCATAATTTGCCTTAGTCTTATTCTGGATAGAGAAAAAAGTCCTATTCTATCAAACAGTAGTCTACACAAGGTTCACAAGTCATTTGTCTATCACAATCACAAATAAAAGAACTTCCTAATAGTCCCACTTATTATAGTCGCTCAATGATCTGTTTTCTCTAAAAATCGCTGTTGAACCAATCGTACATAAGCATCAAGTACTGAAATTGATGACGTGACCTTACGATCCCTCAAACGTTTCTGTTTGTCTTGACCTTTTTCTGAATTTCAAAATGTAGTTTGTAAGTTTTGTTGGATCCAATTAGATCCTATTTGTTAATTTCATCATAATGAAATAGGTTCTTTCTTATTTCATTAATCAATAAAGTAAATAACATTAATGGTAAAGTAAACAATGTGTAATGATCAAAAATGCTATTACTTTGATGTTATTGTTATATGATATATGAGATGATACAATGTAAATAAAATGAAATTAAGTAAATATGTAATGAATGAGAATAATAGGTGGGAACAAGCGAATCTATATTGAATACCAAATTACAAAATCTGTGAACGATATTGTAAACACTTTATTTGTAAAATGTTAATCAATTGTCTCAGATTTCGTTGTTTTTTTGTTGCCATAGCAACCATTCTTTGTTCTCATACTCTTTTCTTTGAACTTCTTAACCTTCTACCACAAGCCATTTCAAATTCGATTGATGATACATACTATTTATATCTGTTGGCATCAGTAGCACACGCCACATTCGTCTCGCCTTTAAAGCAATCGTTTTTGCGGTGGTTTTGCTCGTCATGCCACTTATTTTCTGCAGTCCATGTCGCACTCTCCGTCAAAATATCGAATCTGAGACGCATTGACCTTTAAAGCTCCAGCAACCTGCCGAGCCATCTACATCCAATGTCTGCCCAGCAGCTGCATGTCCCAACTCTCCTCTCCGTTGAAAGCACCAGTCACAGCCAACGGCACCCGAAGGAGGGTATCCTTCCCTGCTCTTGGTTGGTCACGACACCAAATGTAGTGAACGAGAGCACAAGTTGGGACAATCGAATGTATTTCAACACGAAATTACAGAATATCATAAGAGAATCTGAGAAGCATACAGTAAATACTTCATTTGTAAAATGTTAATCATTTTTCTCAGACTTGATTGTCTCTTCGTTTCCAAACTAATCCTTCTCTGTTCTCGTTCTCATTCTCTTCTCTTCTCTTCTTTCTGATTTTCTTAACCTTATGCTGCCAGATATTACACTTTCTACTATTCATACATACTACTTATATCTGTCGATATCAGTAGCGCACACCATAAATATGTAGAACTAAAATACTAAATAACTAAATATTGTATTGTATTGATGTGGTTAACTTTCAACTAGTAGATCGCAGGTACATATTTTTATGCTTTGGGTGATAAGACAATATTATTCGTGTTTATATGAGTTGTGTGAAATAAAGCCGAGTATATAAATCTGTTTTTGGTTGATGATATATCGTTTAGTCAATTTTCAGTTATCTAGTTTTTGATTAGTTTTTACTGGAGGATATCTGCATTTTGAGTGAACTGCCTCAGTATACGACTTTAGTTTTAAGTTTCTGCTTTATCTAAAGCTTACAGTTCTCGATATACCGCGTAGTACTTGAGAACTTCAAGTCGCATGTGAGAAAACAGAAGATGAGTGAGGAAAATGTTTATTCCAAAGTGTCAAACATGGTACAGAACTCTTAGGTATTTATGGTTTTTTTGTAAAAACAAAGTCATCATTGCAGTGATCCATTCCGTGAGCAGTGGTTTTTAGCATTTATCCAATCGGGAGGCTACACATCAATTTTCTGAAATCTTCTCCCAAAAGATTGTTAGATGGAATGTCTTCGGCTCCTTATGAACTTCTTGAAGCTTCATTTATTTCGCCCAGGAGCTGTACTTACCTTTTTAAAATAGATGGACTCTGGTTAGTGAGGGCTATAAATATATGTGGAGATAATGATTGTGGTTTACAGCTGATGGTTAGGGTTTATTCTTAACTATAGGATTTTCATCAGGAACCGACATAAACTAAAATCCCAAAACACTATTTAGCCAAATTGATAAATGAATTTCAGGCCGAAATCCAAGGTCTGTTATCTTAAATCAGACTGATTCGTCGATGAATTATAGTCTCGCCGAAGCAGTCATTAACTATTGTAACAACAACATCACTATGATTTTGAACATAAAATAGTAGGGAAAACGTTAGATAAACCAGGGATGAAGTTTTACTTCGTTGTTATGTCTATTGTCTAGAAAAACTGATATTTTCGTCCTCTTATCTAAGTTGAAACAAACAAATTGGTATTCATAATGAATTGGATTATACAAACTCCAGTAATCAGTCAAAAGATGGCTATGTTGACCAGTACTAATGCATCCATGATGACTAAGAACTAAACTTCAAGGTCCCCGCTTATGAGTCAAAATAAAAGTCCATGAATCATTTCCGTTTGGAGAACATTGCTAGTTACTTACAAAGAATTGCATTCTTCAGGAGCTCAAAACACCCGTATCAGTTAATTATGAACTACTCAGCATTGTACATGCACGAACCCAGAAGGAATTGAATAGAAACCTTCAGGTCTGGTGAAGAAAACCTAACCTACAGACTTTTAATGGTTTACAGTTTCAACATATGCTGTACTTCGTCAAGCACTGATAGATTCTACTTGCTGTACATACAAACTCCGTCATGTCTTTGTTTTATCTGTTTACTAGTCTACCATCAGTACTTAGGGACAAATATGGTTGTTTTAATTTGGTTTACAACTTTGACGAGATAAGCTACTTAGTAATACCATGAATCCTGTGATATATGAGCTTTGATTTACGACTGAACTTCGTCTTGAAGGCAGAGAGGAGAAACTATCCTACCAATGATCGGATAGGTTGGGGAGCGGAGAAAAGGAAAGACAATTTAGCTAGAACTGTATATCCGATTTAATCCTGATTCGAAATAAGTCAAAGTAGGTGCATTTAATAAATACACGACAGTGCACAAGGAATGAGAAAAATACAATCATGTCCAAACGGGATAAAATGAAATACACGTTTCACATTTAAATGACGGTAATTTTGAAATAGAATGGAATATAACAGTGATCCAAATATGAAACGAAATAAAGCGAACACATAACTTAATGTTGGTATTTTAAACATTTCGGATTGATAGTTGGATTTATGAGTCATTCTAAACTAGGCCACCATTGAAAACCTGGGAGTCTTCAGCATTACGCATCCCCGACCTCGAATCCAAGACTCGAACCAAGGACACTCGGTTATGCACACGAACGAGAATTCAACTACTAAAATTACTACAATGCCCCAAAACCCCTATTCTGATCATATTCATCATGTGCTCACTTGTGATTGCCTACAAGATAGATTTCTTGGAGTTCAAGGGAGAAGTTGTGACCAGTAGAGTCTAGTCCATGTCGGATAAAGACAGGTATCTACCTTAGATAATGGATAAATAGTTGCACAAGACCATGGATCTATTGAAACATTCGCACTCAAGACCGGAGCCCCTGAATTTGAGTCCCGAATGAGGGGTCGTTTTTTCTGGCAAGCGTTTTTTTAGCGAGTTAGTCTTCTACGGGATGGGGACGCTAACCCCATGCCCAACCCTCCTCCTTAACCCGGGCTTTGGACTGGCAGTAACTCTAGAAGAGCTACAGAGCTACAAAGGGAAAACCAAGGTTCTCAAATTCAAAGCGGAAAACAACAATCCAATCACTCTTGATGGCGAAACTCTGGAAGGTGTAGAGTCCTTCACATACCTAGGAAGCATCGTCGATGGACAAGGAGGTTCGGATGCAGACGTAAAGGCGAGCATTGGCAAAGCGAGGGTCGCATTCCTACAATTGGAGAACATATGGAACTCAAAACAACTTTCAACCAATATCAAAGTGAGAATCTTCAATACGAACGTCAAGGCAGTTCTACTGTATGGAGCTGAAACTTGGAGAACTACTACAACCAGCATCAAGAAGGTACAAGTATTTATAAATAGCTGTCTTCGCAAGATACTCAACATCCATTGGCCGGATACCATCAGCAATAGCCTTCTGTGGGAGAGAACAAACCAACTTCCAGAGGAAGAAGAAATTAGGAAAAGACGATGGGAATGGATAGGACATACATTACGCAAATCGTCAAACTGCATCACGAGGCAAGCCCTAACTTGGAATCCTGAAGGGAAGCGAAAAAGAGGAAGACCAAAGAACACATTACGTCGGATAATAGAAGCAGATATGAAAAGGATGAATAGGAACTGGAAGGATCTGGAAAGGATTGCCCAGGACAGGGTTGGATGGAGAATGCTGGTGAGCGGCCTATGCTCTCTCACGAGGAGTAACAGGCGTAAGTAAGTAAGTAAGTAATGAGGGGTCGTGAGTTCACACAGCTGAGGAGTCCCACGCCAGGACAAAACGGCCGATCAGTGGTTCCAGGTTTCCAGTAGTTGTCTAGCTTGGATAGATTC